TGTCCCTGGCACTGGGACAGAATTTGCCAACAGAGCTCAGTTCAGAGTGAAAATGCTGTTCTGCATGAAACTGCACACAGAGACCAGGCACTTCTCCTCTGACACAGGGAAAGTCTGATGAATTTTCTCAGGTTGTTTTTTTTGTGGTTGGTTTGTTTGTGGGTTTTTGTTTTGGTTTTTGGTGTTGTTTTTTTTAAGGCTATATTTCAATCACAGTCATTTTCCCTCAAGTTAAACCCAACTGTTAATTGTAGGTGTTTCATCTTGGTGAGGTTGTGAAGCTGGAGCCAGTAGAGTGGGAATCCCACACAGCACACAAAGACTCTGCTGCAGTCTGTCATTTATCGCCTGAATGGAAAGAGTAACAGCCCAACACAAATATTTGGACTTCTCTTTGTTCCTGGCAGGGCTTTTGAAGCACACACACACGAGCAGATTGCGTTTGGTTTTGTGAGGATGGGAGAAGCAAAAGAGAGACAGAGCTGGGTATGAGCCAAATCCAGCACACAAGAGAGGCAGAGTGCTCCCAGGGCTGTGCCCAGGTGTGCAGGGCTGGAGCACCAGCACAGGCAGTTTTATCACAGCAGGATGAGTGCATTCCTGGAGCCTTATCAGGGTGTACATCAAGGATGGCTGTTGATTATGAAGAACAGCACAGGGCAGAATCTCCCACGGGTAAATCCTCTGTCTGTGGGGCTATGAGCAGAACTGAACCAACCATCAAAAGATACAGATCTTTTGCTCCAGATCTGAGCAAAAATCCAGACCTGGATCTTCTTCAAAACTGCTTGATCATTGTTATATCCCACTTGACTAGAGCAAACCTTTAACCAGATAAACAGCACCTTCAAAACAACAGCATTTTCCTGTCCTTATTTCAGAGCAAGGGCAGGACCACTGGAAAGCTCAGCAATTCTGGCTGCACAACCACACAGTTAAGATTTCATACCACTTCCACATCTGCTACAAGTCCAAATACACAGCTGTGGTAGAGCCAGCTTGTCTTTGGAAGCAGTTACAAAGTGCTCACCGTGTGTTTGGTGCTCTGGAAACTCATGCAAAGTGTTGTCCCACCCTCAAAAAGCACAGGAGCAGGAGATCAGAGCCCTCCACCGCCTGCAGAGCAGGAGGCCATGAGCAGACCTGGTTTCACTGATAACACCAGCACAATTTACACAGCCCATGGAAAAACAAACAGTCTGTTGGTTGATATACCTGATTCCTTGGCTCATTGCCCAGGGAGGAAAGCCTGGGAGCACTGAGGAAAGGATTCAGAAAACAGGCCTTGAGTCAAACACGCACCACAGGGTTTGTGACCAGGGACCAGTTTGCACCAGGACTGAGCTGAGGAGCTCCTGTGAAGGCACTGTCTCCCCAGCTGTCTGATGCTCCATTTTCCCTCCTGGTGCTGGATTTCACCAGCAGTCACATGGGGCTGCTTGTCTCCAGTTTGGAATACAAGTCCCTATTGACATAACTTGTAATCCATAAAAAGGCAAGATCAGAATTAACTTCTAGCATTTCTCCTGCTGTTCACCCAGCCCTAATCCAGCATGGTTTGCCAAATACTAAACAATACTAACTATTGCATTTAGGCCTTCCTTCTGAGATTAAAAAAAAAAGTGAATCTGCTCTGCAATAATGGCTTCAAGAAGCAAGAAGTGAAGGAAAAAGTCCAATAGCAACACTCTCTTTGCTTCTCAGCAAATAGCAATGGGCTCAACCAGACACAGCAGCTACACAAACTGTCCTTCTGCAGTGTTGGAAACACCCAAAATATCTGTCTTCAGAAGTTCAGTACTATGTTGGTTATTCCTGACCCATGTTAGAATCATTCCTTAACATTTACCACAGCTCTTCACATGCCTCTGTGCCAGCATGCTCCAGAGCTGGGTTCAGGCAAGGTGACTGCAGGCAGAGAACAATGCAACACTTTCGCTCTGCAATCTGCCACTCAGGTAAAACCCCAGAGCTCCCCTGGGCACACCTGCCTGGCCCAGCCCAAACAAACCTGAGATAGCGTGGGCAGGAGCACACTCATCTCTGCCTGTCAGTGCAGTCTGCTGGCAGCTCTTTGCTTGTTCACCCATAGAGACACAGACAAGCAAGTGGGGGGCAGAATGGAAATAAAATCTCAACACTTGTGTTTGCGAGGCTCAGGATAGCATTAGAGCCCTTCCCATGCTTTGGGAGCAAATGTCTTCAGAGCTGGTAAAGCAGCCCCTTCAGGTGTTGGTCAAGCCCATTTTTCTTGGCAGCCTCCTATAGGGACCAAAGAAAACAGGAATTGCTGAAGGATCAGCATCTCTTGACAAGCACTTCCCAAGTCAGCTTGTATCAGTCTTCAGATCCTCATGGAAGGAGAGACATTACCCAAATGGCTTTGCCAAGGATCTGCAGAGGTCACACAACTGCAGCCACCTCCTCCTGCCCATGCCAAAGGCTCTGGTAGGAGAGGGCAAAGCACAAAGCTATGTGTTTGCAGTAACATGGAGGGAAGGAGGGAAGGAGAGAAGGACACCTGTACCAGCTCCCAGCAGGGTGGACAACAGCAAATAAATAGACAGATGGCGTTTGGCAGTGTGGAAAAAAGCATTTCACTTTGCTAACAAGAAACAGCTCCTGCTGTGGGCAGTGGAGCAGGACTGGGACCATCCCCCAAGCAGAGTGACACCAATTCTGCTGCAGATCTCAGCGGGGCAGTGACAGATGAGTTGCCATGACAGAGCCCAAGTTCTTCCATCACGTCACTGCTACCTTGTGTGACCCAGGGGGTAGGAATAACAGCCAGGCTCCACTACATCATCCTGCCAGAATGAAACTATTTAGAGACAGGTTCCAAGGGCAGCCATGAGCTTGCTTCCCTGGCAGGCTCACTGGGCAAAGAGCTTTAAGAGGTAGAGCCCATCTATACCGCCGAAGGAGGTGAGGGCCAGTAGGGACATGACTTCCTTCATTCCTATAAATTGGCAGGAGGTGCCAAATATTTGGAATGTGCTTTGTAGGGCAGGATTAGCATGGGTCCTGCAAAGCTCTACTTGCCCGAGAACAGATTTTGCTTAGAGGGTTTCTAATCTCACGAGAAAGAGATTTGTTTATCCTGGTTTGTGCATGATAATGAAAGCGTTCCAGAGCCAAGAGAGATTAAGGAAGTGCATTCCTGATGAGCTGCTCCCTCTCTTCCAGTAGAGGACTCAACAGCCTACACAAGGCATTCTTTTTTGTGAGGGTTGGGGCTGGGCTTAGGCTTGAGAGAGTCTGAGAGCCTAGAACTCCATGAGCACTGGCACTGGAAAATCCACGCCAAGGCTATCCTGGCAGGGCCCCAACGTTGCTGTTCCTACATCTTCCCCATCTGAACCACCACCACTGGTGCTGGGCTTGGTCTGAGGACGGTCTCTGGGCTGAGGTGAGACTGCTGTGAGTGTTTGCTTGAGCAATCCAGAGAATATGAAGCTGGGAATTCCAGGCAATGATCAAAACAATGCCTTAAGTCCATTTAGCTTGTGCCTGTGAGCACTGGTATTTGAGCTGGAAAGGTGTTGCTGGAACAAAGGATGGAGTAAATCTGCTCTCTTTGCAGTGAAGGACTAAGGAGCAGGGAAAGGGAATATTTATAAACTGTATAACTATTTCACCCAAACTGAGGGGCAGCAGGGATATCCATGTTGTCCTAAAGAACTGCTTCAGTTATGGGTCAGAGAGAGGAAAAGGAAATTACTTTTTATTTTCTTACCATTTTTTCCAGACAGAAGTGGGACATCATCTTACCCCTCCCCAAAACACTCCAGAAACATGGGAGTAGCCCGGTGTTGGCCCAGTTCTCTGAGAGATAACAACATTTGAGAGGTTTAAGTGTTACTAACAACTCTGTTGTCTCTTGACTGCAAAGATTCAGTCCTACAGACCCAGAGTGATGAGACAAAAACGGAATTTCTACATAGGGGTTTAACCAAAGAAACAGTTTCAGCTTCCTTGCTTTCAGAGCCCAGCTCCAGCCTGCAGTTTCTTGTTCCTATGCACGTGTGATGGTTTGCAGTTACTGAGCACGAATATCCCTTGCAAACAGCACACGGGTCATTTCTGATTTGCAGTAGCGCTCCAAGTCACCAGGTGCCACCAGCGAGTCATTCCACTCACTGCGCCTGTGCCCCTCGCTCAGATTCCACAAAACTCAATACATCCGAAGATTGCTCCCAGACAAAAGCTGCCAGGACAGAGAGCACTTGGGGACCTTGACCTCCCCAGGACAACCTGTCGCCTACCTGCACCTGAAACACTGGGGGTTTTCCTTCCTATGGAAAAGAGCTGTCATTTTCTTTCTGGATCCCATTGCCAGAATTTCGATTCCACCTCCAAAATTGCATGTATCTAAGGATTGCTCCCACACAAGAGATGTGGTGCTGGGGAACAGCTAGAAGTGCTCTGAAATGGAGGGGAACCCCCTGATTTAAGCCCTGATTTAAATGATGAAAAAGGGTGAGTTTCCTTCAATTTACCCCCTTAAAATGAGGGAAAAGGAGGGGTCTATTTTCACTTAAATAAACTCCCATGCTGTCAAATACAGTGCAGTAAACATGCTTTCTCAATATCTCATTATCTTCTGATCAAAACTGTACTGTCAGCATGTATTCTTTATCATTCTTCTAAGTGATAACAGGTTTTAGTTCCTCCAGCAAAATTAAAGCATAGAACTTGTGCCAATGACCCCATGGCCTTGAACTTTGAAGCAGAAATGCTTGTAAAACAATAAACATCTACCCCCCTCTCAGAAAAACTTGACTATTAATGTGAAGGAGCTGCAGTGACTATCTCCCCTTCTATCTTACCCTGGACTGGAAATGACCTCTGAAATGGAGTATTTCATTCAATTTGTTTTGCCTCAGTAATTTACAACAAACCTTTGAACAGCAAGAATCTTGTTTATTTCTGGACACCTATTTCCATTAAAGGCTTTTCCCAGACCAGCACAGACTACCGCAATCAACCACCCTGGATCATCTGGATAAAATATGAAATTCATTGGCTTAGATGTTTCTTTCTTGATTCTCTCCACCCTCACTGCTCTTTGGAATGCAGGTGAGTGATTTTCAAACATTTTGCTGCTTTTAACTGCAAACTTGTTTGACTTCTCTCCTTCAGAATAGCTTGGTAAGAAATTGCTGATACCATCTTTACAAGCTAAAACAGAGGCACACAGGCCAGTTTTACCTGCATGGTGTCATTTTCAATCCCTTCCTCTATAATTTCCAGCAGGTCAGTGGATCTCTTCTGTAAGTAAACAGACAATCTGGAGAATGCAGTAAATAAATTTAAAGACAGAGAAAAACTTTTTCACTTCCCATTATTCATAATTGGTTCCAATTCTGGAAGATCCATGTCCAAGTTTAGAATTTCTGGCTTACCTAGATCATCTCAGAACTGCAGGGTACTCTTGATATAGTTCCCAGGCAGTGTTATCCTTGCATGATTCCACTTCCCAAAAGGTCTTCAGTGCTCCCAGCTGTCTGTGCAGCTTGTCCCTCTCACTTAACTCCCCCCTAACTGTTTGTGAAATCCAGCTATTCCTGACAGTGTTACTGTAATGTCTGTCTTCTCACTGTTTTATTTGTTGAGTAATATCCACTAATTACTTACAGTCTGTAAGCCAAGAGCCCACTCACCTCTCTGTGTACACAGGGCTCATAACCTGCCTTGTTAAGGCCAGACTCAAATGAAATGCACAAAACAAAAACATTTCAGTAGCTCTTAATAAACTTGTGTTGGAGCCCATTTCATTGCTGTTGTTAACTTTCCAAGAGCACTGGCTTTCCATTCTTACTGATTCCCACGTAGGGTTGATGGTGGGGGGCCCCTGTCCTGGTGTGTTTAAGACTTATTCTCAAAAAGAAATGTAATTAATGATGCTCACTGAGTGTCTGCTTCAGAGATTTATCTGTCTATTAAATGTAAAAATACCCATGGAATTCATGAAATGATGTAGTGGCTGGGAGGTAAATAAGTGTATTTTGCTATTCAAACTGGAGCAACCTTAATATGCAGGTGATTACAACCTTCACCTAAATAGGTTCCTAAACTAACGTAACCAGTATTTAAGTAAGTATTTACTTACAGCACTCCTTTGGATGATGTACTTACGCTTCAGAGAACATCTAGAGGAGTTCAATAACTTTCCTGCCTCTTTTTTTCTTCCTTTAACAAGGGGCTCAAGACTCTTGCGCAGACCGATGTGGGGAGCTGCTTGGTACCTGTTCTTGCCAGGTGACATGCCAGTCCTTGGGGATATGCTGTCCTGATTATACAGAATTTTGTCTTCAAATTTCTCCCTACTCAGGATCTCTTATGGGAGGCAAAGACTTTTTGATTAACAACACAGCTTTTAAGGCCTCTTCTGTCCTAAAATGCAGGTGGGCCATGATTTTATATTCCTTTGACTGCTCATTCTTCCCTTAACATATTAAAACACTAAGTGTGTCAGGCTGTATCACACTAAGGTACACATGGCACCTGCCATACATACAGTGCACTGAATTTTGATGACCCTGATGGTGTGCTATTATTTCCACAGAAGGTTCTGAGTGAGATTTTTGGAGTCCTTCCCATCTGGGTAGCGATACCTGAAATGGTTTTCAGTTCTTTATTTGGAAAGCCTTTGACCAAGGCATTCATTCTGCAGAACACAACTGTTAGCCAGGGCAAATTTCAGTGCAAACAAAGGTACTATTTCCTGGCAGGCCCCAGCTCCCTCTGCTACCTGGAGTAGATATGTACTCCCCATGTATCAGTCTTGAAGGGTCCCAGGTGGGGTTATACCCCAGGACACTGGGCAAGAGCCCAAACTGGAATCAAATGGTTAAATAACAAGCAATGCGTTCTGAGTTAACCTTTGCAACAGAAATTCTGGAACAGTGTGAAATTGCTTTCGCTGCTTTCACAGGCCTTAACAGGAAAAAAAAAAAAACAAATCAGAAATTTGCAGTAACTGTGCATCATGGTCAGTGTTAGCCACCCTCTAATCCTGCTAATGCTATAACATTATCTTCCTCTTCCTGTTGCCCCTTTGTTGCTAATTTATCATGTCTCCCTCCCCCATTAATTAAATAGTAAATTGAAGGTTTGTGGATTGCTGTATATTTGTGCAGTTCACAGCAGAATTCACACTGATGTAATGAGCAGATTTTTTCAGTTTGTATTCCCTGCTACAAGCAAAACAGCTCCAGACTAGAAATGATCCACACATGACACAAGGTTGCATGTTGAAACACATTCAGAATTTTCCTTCTATCTATGAGGACACTGAAAAGTGTTTTCAACATCTACAGGTTCAAGCAGAAAATCATAACCAGTGGCTATGTTGACAATGATGGAAAAGCCCACTGCATCTCCCCGTTGCTTTATGAGACTGGTTTCATCCCTTTTGAAGTTTCTACAAATAATGGGTCAACGTTTCCTTACTCTGGAACTTGGTTATCAGGTTACTTAAATCTACTGCATCCCTCTTCTTCCTGTATTCTTCCTCTATGCATGCAAGATTATATGTCTTTTCCTTTTGACCAGTTTTATTCTTCCTTAAGCCCTCAGAAGATAAAATCTTCCTGGTCTCATATTAATTTATCTTTTGAGAGATGAACTTTCACAGCAATTGAGTAGCAACAGCAACATTAACTGATAAAAAGTCCTGCTTAAAAATGGGGTTGACCAAAACGATTCCCACTTTGTCCCTACTTTTATCCCTTTTTGTCTTCTCTTCAAATAATTGCATTGTGGTGTTGCAATCTAAGGACTGCAAATATTAGTAAGGGTTACATTCTCTCAGCTTCAGGTTATTCTTTCCATGTCATGCATCCTCTGCTGTGTAAAACATAACCAGGGGAAATACTGCCAAACCTTAAATAATATAGTAGCACTTTTTCAGGATTATGCAAAGCCAAAATGTCATTAGCCCTCTTTTTCTGCTCTGCAATGCAGTACATCACAACAAAGTTTCAGATGGAGAAAAATGCACATTGGTAAATGAGACAAAATGGCAATACTATGGCACCCCCAGCACTGGTGGAAACTTAACTCTGACCTGGACACACCAGACACTCACAGCAACCCACATCAACATAGAAGTCTGGGGATACCAGGAAACAGGTAAAGTGACCCTTTTGCTACCTGTGCACAAGAATTTATCATACACATAAGTTATGTGCAGAGCTCTGCACAGCTGGGATCGCTTTCACCAAGGCCTCAAGAAGAGACCTGCAAGTATAAATAACTGATGACAATAATGTCAGCTTTTCCTCTTCATGTACGTATGGGTGGAGACATCTAATTTCAATCTTGTGGCAATTGTTCTTTTCCAGCACCCAAAACCATTTTCTTCCTCTATCTGACAGGTGACAGTTACTCAGAAAACTGGATGGCTGAATGGAAATACCTTTACACTTTGGCAAGAGAAATACCCAATACAGGGAAATATTCTTTCATTCCTGTACCCACCGAAGGAAATTACAGTGCATGGCACTTTGGAATTTTGAGAATTATACCCAGCAAGTATTTTGACGGGCAGAGGCAAGTGCATCACAACATATAGTAGTAGTAGTAGTAGCAGTAGCAGTAGCAGTAGCAGTAGTAGTAGTAGTAGTAGTAGCACTGCTACTGCTACTACTACTACTACTACTAATAATAATAATAGCAACCTTATAAGCTATTGTCTCCTTTTGGTATTCAAAACTGGAACTCAGGCTCCATTTAACATGAAAAAATGGGGAGAAAACTGGAATGTCGAAAGTGAGAAAAACCTTCATGTATGGGTCAACATAAAGACAGTTTACTAAGTAAAGAGGAGCGTGGGGGAAGAGCCATGATGTCTGCCACAAGCAGACTGATGCACAGTTAGTCACCCAGTAAGGGCTGCTTTGGAAAAACACCCCTGCAGTTTTATTGATGGGCATGGAATATCCCTTTGGCCACTTTGGGTTGGCTGTCATGGCCGTGTTCCCTCCTGGCCTTCTCCCTGGGGGCCAGGATGAGAAACAGAGAAGACCTTGACGCCATGCCAGCACTGCTCAGCAGGAGCTAAAACACTGATGTGTTATCAGCACTGTTTTGGTCACAAATCTAAAACGTGGCTTCAGTGAAGAAAATTACTCCATCCAAAGCCATACTCTCGCCAGACTAGGATCTGCTGATTCTTTTGTTTCTCACAACTGTGGAAGAGTTCCTAATTGTGGAGCTTCAGTCACTGCAGCCACAGGCCTTCCTCTTATATTTTCTATGCATTTTGCATTCCTTCAAATTTTATGGCCATTTCCTTTTATTTCATTGCATATTTCCCCATGATTTTTGGTAAACTACCTAAGTGCTCCATGGATATTTTTTCAAAATTCTTCCACATCTGCAGATTTGATGTAGATGGTATAGAGTCTATAAATGCCACCTCTTCAGTGTTACAACATATAGCTAATATGTCAGAACCTTTTTTTGCATTTAGGAGTTGCTACCCAGAGAATGATAGCCTTTTCTCCTTCTAGAGGAGTTTTTTATTACACTTTGTACATGATATTTTTTTCATGGGGGAAAAGCAGAGTGGCTTTGGAACATTTCGAGGATTCTGAATAGTTTCTCTGGTCATTAGTCCTGATATTACTGGGGTGCAGTTGTTTTGTTAAAGAATCCAGATATTCTTCATTCTGGCCTAAATTAAATTAGAATGTCAAAAGGCGTGAATAGAAAGCCTGCCTCTAAAAGGATCCATGTAAGCCAGAATCATGATTACAAAAATGTTTTCTGATTATTGCATACTTGCTGCATGCTGTCCTGTCACCTCCTGAACTTGGGAAATTTTGATTTGCCATAACTTTTTGAAGAAAAAAAAAAAACAAACAGTGGGCTTTGCAATGAAATAACTTGAAAGTCAAAAGATGCTTTTTAATTATAATTAGCAACTGAGCCACAGAGCTGTCAAAATAATGTTTGTTCAACTATCAGATCTATTTTTTGTTTCTTTTTTTTTTTTTCCAGCAACATTCTATCAATCTGGAGCTCAGAGCATGCATTGGCTTGGCACCTTGAGAAAGACTTCAGAAATGACCCAAATGCATGGGCATCTGCAAAATGTATTGAATGGGACAGAAAGGAAGAGTTGCTTCCAAACTTCTTGGAAGAAATTATAGACTGCCCTTGCACCTTGGCACAGGCAAGAGCTGACACTGGCAGGTTCCATGTAAGTTATTAATTGACACCTCTGGCTTATTACAATTCTAGGTAGAAGCTTAAGGAGTGCCAAACTCCACACACACCCCTGTTCCCTCTCTAAATGTGATTACAAAGAAATTAAGTTATATTTAGATTTGCCCAAGTAGCCTATCAAAAGACAGAGGTAAATACAGCTTATCTAGTTAGTATGAATAAAAGTACCTATAGGATGGGAGATGGAAATTACATTCAAACAGGGAATTAAAACAGTAGTTCCAGTGGTAGACTGACAACACTCTGGTGGAGCTGGAAGCAGGGCTGACTTCTTTGAGATCCTACAAGATGACAGTCTGTGTTTGAAGGTGATATCCCATGCTGTAACTAACTATTTCTGCCTAGTTTATCATACTTTGCTGCAAACCCTTCCACCTTGTACTTCAGAGCTCAAGCCCAGAGCTGTAATCCATTATTTCCTTTATCCTGCTTCCTTCCTCCTTCTCAGCTTCACTGGTATCAAGGAACTGACAAGAGCTAAGAAATCAATTGCCATTCAGTCTACACTTTCACTTACACTGCTGATCTGAGGACCAGATGAAAGCAACTTCCTCTCCTATTTGTGATACCAAATGGTGGCATGTGTTTATCCACTAAAAAAAAAAAAAAAAAAAGTTAGGTAAACCTTGTTACTATTCTAGTTATGAAGCTCAAACATGATGTTTACAGTTAAAAGCTTGTGAAGATAAAAAATAGATCTACTGCCTCTGTCTAAGAACATAAGATAAACATTTACTCTGTTGTGTCTGTGTTTGTTGTACACTTACAGTTGAATCCCCATCTGGCTGGGTTTGTTCTTCAAGGTCTGTTGTAACAGACTGCAAAATGTTCAGGTCAGGCATGTTGCTCCAAACACTTAAGTATTAAATTCACCGTTTTTGCTATCATTCCATGCTATTCAACACACAACCTCAACTGGTTCATGTCAACTTTACACATATGTTGGATACAAAGGATGGGAACAGAATGTAAGAACAGAAAGAACAATGAGGAAAGAACCCCATTAAGTGTGAACATTCATCTTTTTCAGACAGATTACGGCTGCGACATTGAAAAGGGGAGTGTGTGTACTTATCATCCTGGTGCTGTGCATTGTGTAAGAGCCATTCAAGCCAGGTAAAAACAGAAATTTAAACTGCATTTTTTTGATTAATCCTTTCACCTCAGAGACAGCAGCATCACAGAAGTCAGGGGTGAAGTCTAACTGGACATCAGATAAAGCTTGGCAAGCAAAATATTTGGCTGTATCCATAAAAAGGCATTCAGTAACCCCTAAATAAAAATGCACACCACAGAGCTAACTGATGATTTTCTTGCTGCCTTTCTCAATCAGTCCCCAGTATGGGGCTGGCCAGCAGTGCTGCTATGACTCCACGGGAACCCAAATCCTCACGCACGACTCCACCGGAGGCAGCACACCTGATCGAGGACACGACTGGGGTTCAGCACCTTTCTTGAAGCCTCCCCGGATACCTGGCTTTTCCCACTGGCTTTATGATGTTATCAGCTTCTATTACTGCTGCCTGTGGTCTGATAATTGCGACTTCTATATGAAAAGGCGGCCCTCTAGTGACTGCAGGACGTACCGCCCGCCCCGAGCTGGTAAGGGCTTCAAAATTTCCCTGTGGAGTGTAGATTTTTGATACAGTGTTGGCTTTTAGAATATTTGTATATAGGTGCATATATGAGTTGACAATGGTGAGGGTACAATGTCCTGGGGAAAAATTCCAAGGAAGGTTTCTATTGATCTATCACTTACAAAATTAATGTTATTAATTAAGCTGGTCAATGACAGCTAGGAAGTAGCTAGAAAAGCTATAATGATGAGAAATATTCATATCAGATAAGAAAGTTTTACAATTTACAGTGTGTCTGTTTCGCTCCCACTTGCTTTTAACTCAGTCTTCAAGTTTTGCCACACCTCTGTTGCTACCACCTATTTTGCTTTCTATGATGCTGAGATGCTGGTGTGTCCAGCAGGACTTGGCCTCCCATAAAGAAGTGAAAAGAGGGAGCAGTTTGCATCAGGAAAAAAGGAGAAAACTGTAGAGGGAATTGCATTAGGTAGTTAGGGGTCATGAATGAGTGGTTTCACTGCTTAAAGAAACTCCATCAAAAGCATTGGCAGAAACAGAGTTTAATATGAATTTGTGAAAATACAGCTTTAAAACTTGATGGCAAGGTGCGTTGTATTAGTTACTATACAGATTAAAGCATACAAAAGAAGATAAATGAGAAGCAATTTGGAGCAATTTACATGGAAGTTGGAAATGCAAAAGGGGATAAGGATGCAAAGGATGTGGATGCAAAGATAAGTCAATAGCCCCATATTCATGTCCAAATCTCCCCGTATATTGCATGTGACACAGACTTCTAGCCTCTTTCCTTTCTCATGAACTTGTAGAGTAACAGATTGTGATTTTTGCTCTCTTTTTGCTTTTAAAAATAGCATCTGCTTTTGGGGATCCTCATTTCCTTACATTTGATGGTCTGAACTTCACCTTCAATGGCCTAGGAGAATACACATTGGTAGAGTCTGATCTCACATCCCTGAGAGTGCAAGGGAGGACACAGCAGGCACACTTGCCCAATGGTAAGTCAGTGAGAGAGGAAGCAGAGCTTCTGAGCTCTGAGCTTGCTTGATTTGCACTTAGCAGTAATCCTCCTGTCATCTCTAATCTTCGTTTTTGGCCATTTGTGAACGGCCACCATTCTGAAGAGAATCAGAAAGCAGACAACATCTTCAAGAAGAACTTCCCAATCAAAGTTTAATTTCTGGTTTTATTGGGTGTGAGTATTGGAAGTGTAAGATTTTCTACTGTGTTTAAGAGCTCCAAAATTTCTTATTTCTCTCCATGCCCATTCTCATCAATGAGGAAACACAAGGCCAGTTCTCGAAATCAGTCAATAGACACAGCTGCCAGCTGATGAACTTTGACAGCATTGTTGGGTTTTTTTTGTTTCAAAGGAACTTGGGCTCAGGGGACAGGCTTGTCTGCAGTGGCCATGCAGGAGAACAACTCTGATGTGATTGAAGTGCGCTACTCTGAGGATTTGAATCTGGAGGTCCTCTTGAACCAGAGGGTTCTCAGCTTCTCTGAACAAACTTGGATGGACTTGAAAGGTTAGTTACACGTCAGCCTTGTAAGCTATTCTATTCTGATGGAGCCCATGGACAGTTAAAGGCATCTCTAGGTGGATGCATTTAAACTCTCTTGTCAGTATCCTTTTGTGAAGTGTTTTAATTGGTGCCTTTAATGTCTGTGTTTTCTATGTCCTCTTTCACTCATTTGTAGAGCAGTGGTTTTCCTTCTCATCCTGTGGACAGTGAATAGAATTAAAAACTCTGGCCTCTAAATTCTGCTTTGAGCTTACTGCATTTAATGCAATGAAGCCTATCAAATAAAATGAAATATAGTGAAATATAAATAAAATATATACTAAAATATAACTGAATTTTACATTTACCTACTGGGAGCTCTCAATAGGTCAGATATTATTCCTCTATTCTTCTGCCAAAAAGACTATTAAAAGTTGACTTTTGGTTCAAAATGGCCATGATTATTTGATTTGTCTTTATGATAATTTGACAAATACTCATCATACATCACTTTAATTTTAACAGTAATCCCCCTATTCAGTAGAGGAAAATTTCTGTGGTTAGCAATTAGTATTCCTCACATGGCTGACAAGGAGCAGGTGGAGGACTCCACTGACAAGGAGCTGCAGAAGCAGAGATGCAGTGAGGAAAAAAAATGGAAGGGACATTGAGGAGGCCTGGAGAAGAAGCCAAATTAGGGAGGTGATGACAAGACAAGGGACAAGGAGAGGAAAACTGTGAGCACTGAGAGTGGTGCTTCCAGTTCACAGCCACTCTCTGATGTAGACATCTCATATCTTTAAGCTTCTGGTCTGAGACACTGGCAGGAGGCATCTTCTGTCAACAGTGGACCTTTCTTTGCTACCACTCTCTTGTAGCCATCTTATCAAGAATTGTAGTGTGAAGGTGTGGCTTCCCTTTAAATGCTTCTCAGAGTGGAAGTGAGGAAAAGCTGTATGGAAAATGGTTATTGTTATGAAAACTGATTATTTTAACTGATGCTTAAACACAACCATTTTTTCACTATGGATAATTAGTTATTTCGTCCTCTTCCTCTATTGTTACAGGTCTCTTTCTCTATTCTACACCTGATCAGAACATCACAGTGATGTTCTCTTCTGGGGCTGGAGTGGAAATAAGGGAAAGTGGAGGATTTCTGACCCTGACAGTTCTGCTCCCAGAGAAGTTTATCAATCACACAAGGGGTCTTTTTGGGGTAATGAATGGAAATCCAGAGGATGACTACACCTTCAAGAATAAAACCACCATGTCAGTTCATGCAAGTCCCCAGCAGGTGTTTGGGTTTGGAGCTAGCTGTAAGTAATTTCTCTGGTCTATTATTACATTTTCTTTACAAATTCCAAACAGCTCATGATTTAAGGGCTAGGAAATTAAGTCTGTGTCAAGCAACCATACTGGGGGAAGAGAATGGAATAAGAGAAATATGCCCTCCTCTAGCCACATAGGGAGTGAAAACAGAACCATGATGGAATGTTGTCGGGATTTGCCGGAGCCGCGGAAGACAAGCCTCATGCTCTCATGGTCAGCAAGTCTCAGTTTATTGGAGTTTACAATATACAATATATAATGCTCATAATCAGCTCATACATATTGCAAAAGCTAAGCTCATGATTGGTCCACTAACATTGACGCACATTATTCCTTGTGGTTAGCCTTGAAGTTACTAGTTCCCTATCTTCTACTGCAGATCTACATACTTGGCAGTTTCACATCCTGATAGTTGTTTCAGTTTGTCCTCAAGGATGTTCTGTCCTTGAGGCCTTATACTTTAACTAATCGGACAGTATCATGTCCTTTTTGTCTTAGCCGTTCTTCAAACAAACTCTCTACAGAATGTTCAGCACTTTGTTCCATCGAGAGTCAGACCTTGAATTTCACAGTTTACACTTTCAGAATACCACCTACTATGCTGCTGAACACAGCATCAGCAGACTACAGTGTTACAGAGGTACAGCAAAAGCCAAGGCCAGCTACCTTTTCCTAGAACATTAGCAATGTTTTCATCATGTGCCATGCTGATAATTTAAAAAATTATTTATTAAATCACAATTTAGTAATTGTCCCTTTAAAGAAGAGGGTGTGGAGGGATGTGTGTAAAAGAATGGCTTCTATCGTTTAATGAGTGATTAAGCTGCTCTGTCTAATCTGCAACATTAGATTGGTCAGCATTCCTTCTGACATCAGGTTAGGAGATGGGCCAGAAACATAATGCAAAATACTCTCTGGCTACCAGTTGATCTCTGTTTTGAGCACAGTGTAGCCATACTCCAGGGTTCAGATTATACTGAAAAGTCTCATTGCTTCAGCCTCAGGAAGTTTCTGATATAGCAGAGTGAAAAAAAGAGCAGAACCATGGCAGACATGATGAATTTAGGGCACAGTCTCAGGATCTGTGTTGCTTGTAATGGTTGCTTTAGGCAGCTCTGTCATTTTGCTAGGAGGCACATTAAACCATCTTTATGGAAAATCATGGCTACATAATTATTTGGCTCTAAGTTTAAGAAAATGGTCAAACAGCAGGTTAAGTGAACACCAACTTTGGTGCTAACTTAAGATGTTGCATATGAAAAGGAAAATAAGCTTGAGCCAGAAGGATGCTTCCTATATCTCTTCCAGCTCTAGCTACATTTCTGTAGATAAATACTCGGATTAGCAGCAGAACGTGGTCTATGTTGGCAATGTTACATGTGAATTTTTCTTTCTCTGTCTCCCAAGGGGCTATAGAAAATGGAACTTCTCTCTTTACTTATGACACAGAGTTCTTACTGAACAGTTTCTTTCATGGGGAAAAGCACAATGCTTCCTTTCTGCCGGTGTTCACCCCTTACGAAGACCCTGCTGATCCCCTGGTAAAAGAGATGCTCTCGCTCTGTGGCTCAGACCCATTCTGCAGATTTGATGTCCTGACAACAAGAAGCCCTCAAGTGGGAAATTCCACAAGACTTTCCCACCAGAATCACAAGCTGCTGGTAGAACATCTAAAGCCAGGTGATACAACATTCCACGAAACATCATTACAGAATAACAGGATATTCTGAGTCGGAAGGGACCCACTGGGATCATCAAGTCCAAACCTTAAGTGAACGGCCCATAGGGAGCATCACTACCATTATTTCTACAGGCATCTAAAGAGTTAACACTGAGGAGACTTTGCTTAACTGTAGCTTCATGCACCTATAAAGAATCTGATTGTGGGAAACCATCCTTGTACCAGGAAAACTCTGTACAGATAGAATACTTAGGCAAACTCAAAATAAATTTCTTTCAATTTCTTGCACTGTAACACCACAGTATAGAAAATTTAACTTCATTTCACATGCATTAAGCTGTTTTCCTTGGACTTCAAAATAATTTTTAAAAGCAGCAGGAAGTATTGTCTTTCAGATAGCCTAAAAATCTTTGGTTTTCCGTGAGTTGCCACTAAAATGCTGTTTGAATCATTGTAATGGAGATTTGCTGGTCCAAATCCTAAATACTCTAACCAGATATGTTTCTTTCATTAGTGATCTCTTGTGGCTGGCTGGAGCATCCAACCAATGGAAGAAAGAATGACACTAACTACCTGCTGGGCTCAACCATCAATTTCACCTGCAATGTGGGCTATGAACTTACAGGGTCACAGGAAAGAACTTGCCAAGTGTCAGGAGCCTGGTCAGGAGACACACCCCAGTGCAGGCCGGTAACAGGTCTGTTGCCTTTTAGATATCACATGTTGTCACTAAATATTCACTAACAAGGACAATGCAATCTCAGGAGACCATGATGGCCCTTGACAGAAGCAACTTCTCTTACTTGGTAAAACATTGGACATTAGATGTCTGAATTTCTAGAAGGGCTATTAACAGGTGACTTGTGGTGGTTTTGTGCATTTTGGTGGAGGGTTTGAAAGCTTTTGTTCTATCAATGGGTACAGGTACCTGAAGGGTGGGTGAAAAGAGGATGGAACCAGGCTTTTCCCTGTGGTTCCCAGGGACAAGAACAGAGGCCACAGGCATGCTCTGAAACACAGAACATCCTCTGAATATCAGAAACCCCTTTTTTACTGTGATTGTGATGGAGCACTGGCACAGCTTGCCCAGAGAAGTTACAGAATCTCCCTCCCTGGAGATACTCAAAAGTTATTGGGTCATGGTCCTGGGCAACTCACTCTGGGTGGTCCTGCTTGAACAGGAAAGTTGGACAAAATTACCTCCTGAGGCCCCATCCCACCTCAACTGTTCTGTGATTCTGTGATTTGGGTTCAACAAGCCCACACTTGTTGAACACTTCAATTTTTTTTTCTAAAAGATAATGTTATCTCAAAACATAATGCTATTATTCTATAGCAGTAAAAGTATTGTGAATGATGCAATAGTATTTAGTATAAATAACATATTTATTACTCCTCTTGTGTCGCTACTAATAGATTATCAGTTAGCCTGGGATTGTTTGATTTAGTAATGGTTTAGTAGCATAGGCTGTCTCTATGATTTACAGAAAATGGCCCAAAACTTTCCTTTTATTCATTCATCACATACACTCCAAATGTCCTCAAGATGGCAATATTTCAAAGCACCAGGGTGATGCAAGGCCAGATGGCATGTTGAAGCACTTTTAATGCTGAGTTAATAGTTCCCAAAAGCACTCATCAAATAATTCATACTAACAGATTCTCCATTCTAAGACCCTTCCAAAGAAATGTGGAAAGTGCACTTCACATCAGCAACAAATTCCTGTCGTGCTGGCACATTTCATCAGCCTCTGCTGGCCTGTACCAATTGTTTGTATGTTTCCAATGCAGTTCTGAACTTAGTAATATTTGTAAGATGAACTGCAGTGAGTTTGGGCAGCAGAAAAATTTGCAAAGGCCAGATCTTAAAAAGGCAGTGTCAAAACATTCTGCCAAGCTGAAAGCTAAGAATATTTTTCCACTGCTGCCATCAACCACATATATACTGGATAAGAGCCAGTCAGTCTCAATAAGCAAAACAGATGCTGACATTTACACTAGCAAAAGCAGGGACAGAAAGGCAGCCCTGTGAGATCAGAGGAAAGGAGCTGGAAGATATGCAGTGATTGATTGCATTCAGAATGATGGGGACATACTGCAGCTTTGTGGATGAGCAAACAAAACCCACAATGTTTTCCAATGCTTTCCTGAAAAATTATGAAGAAAAACAAGGTGTGAAAGAATTTTATTGTTCTGATTGCAACAAAGATCTTCCTTACTACTTGATATTTGGTGTTCTAGTTAATTTGCAATGTGAACCAAAATCGATGGATTTTATTAGCCTCAGGAAGTTGGAGTGTGGCAATGCTGTCCACAGTAGCAGGATGCTGACAATAACAACAACTGACAATACAATATACAATACTGATTTCTCCATTCTTTTTTTCTTACTGCTAGCCCTAATAATGGGATGTATATCTAGTCTTCTTCCATAAGGTGTTCTGCTAGATGTCAGTGTTTGTCTGAGAAGGCCCAGGTGTGTATAGTGAAGAGAGGCAATACAGTTTTAAGTTCTTTTCACTTATATCTAAACTTCTCATATTTTTATAGCATGGACAGCTAGTACTTGCTTTCCACTAAATACATTTCTGCCTCTGGTCCAAGACATAGTTGAAATCCAAAGCCAGTTTTCCCTGTCTTACTTCTCTATTCAGCCATTTTCTCTATTCTCCATCCCACAAGCCTTCTTTTCTCCAGTACAGAAAAGAAGTGTTGTCAAAATCTGTTGTTCCTGAGGTCAGTTTTCTTTCTTTTTTATCTCTTTACACAGCAGCATGCTGCTGTTTTGCTAACATCCATTTTATCAAGTCCTGTGACAAAGACCTTCTTAACACCAGGAAAATGCTGACAAAATTAGTGGACAGCCCTTCCCAATTTCTGGGTGCCTGAATGGGTGACCACTGACCTAGCCACTGTGATCAGCAGTCACATTTTTACTTTGAGAGTGAACTATTAAAAACACACTTTCTCAAATTATTTCTTTCATGCTGGTCAAGAGCAAAGGGCCCAGCTCTCTGTTATTCTAAACTTACAGGTGTATTTCTTTACAGTGCTGTGTTTGTTACACTTGCTGCAGTTTTGTGGCATATCAGACCCAAGCTCTGTCTTGCAAATCAAAAAGTGTTTTTAGTTGCTATATCCTTCCATTTTCCAAAGAGAATAGCTCAAATAAAGGCATGGGGACTAGGAAAAATTAATAGGAAAAGAGGTGGAAACAAGAAAATGTAATGCCAGTTATTTTACAAAATCCATTTTGGTATTTTGAAACTTCAGATACAAATTATGTTGTTGGGCCTGCATATTGTTGTTTTTGAGTTTTGCTTCCTTGGACTAAAGTTTCCATGGAAATCCTCTGCTAATAATTATTTTGCTATGCTTCTAATTACAATCCCACTGCAAGTCTTGCCAGTACCACAGCAAGCTCTCTTCACAGAATATCACAAAGAGCAAGAACAAAGAAGCCATCCAGCAAAAGCAAAAAGGAGATTCTAGTAAAATTAGATGCAATATCCAGCTAAAAATCATAAGATACTGGCAATATATGTACATACAGTCTCTTTGAGACAGACAATAATTTGGTGATTAAGGGCAATCTAGTTTTGTTTGCCTTTTGGGTTTTTTTCTTTTTTTTTTCCCCCTCCTCTATTCACTTTTAGATTTCCTTTTCCAGGCTCAGGCTCTGTGTAAATACTGCTCATTTTGAAAATCTGTCAGATATCTCATTAGTGCTTTTCCAAACACAAAGGTTTCACAACAGAGGCAAATCCCTACTGGACTAACTACTCAAGCCAGTGGTGGGTTCTCATCACTTGGCAGAGACTGGGTGCCTCCCTGTGAAGGATGTAGAAGCCAAACATTAGGTTTTGAGCCTTGTTCAGAAGTTACTGGATAATGGACCAATGCTTATGAAACATTTATGTGTCACATTTCTTTCCTTAAACTTCACTTTAAATCAAATTAGCATCTGAATAATCTGTTCTAAGATCAGAGAAGTGTTATGTCACTCTGCCATCACCGTGTGCTAGGCTGTGGTGTGGGCAGGTGTGACAAAGTGATGGAAGGAAGGGTTGACAAAAATGCAGCCCCAATGTATTATGGCTCAGACACAAAATGCAGGAATCATTGTTTCTCTCAGACAGTTCACTCCACATGCTGCATCTCCTAACTTTTATAAATATTCTCATGTGTCATTGTAATCTGCCACTGCTTAGTAGAATAAGAAAACAAAATAATAATTTCTATTCAAAATTTGTTTCATATCTCTTTCAGGTGTCCTTGTTAGGCAGTCACAGAATCAAGTTGACACTTTTCATGTTTTAGTGTGTTCGAACTCTCTAATGCAGTTCAATGTACTCACACCAGAGTAGTCACTTCTCTTTTATATAGATTATTAAGCAGCAAAGGTAGTTTCAAAATTTAATGCCAAAATAGGGGTAATATTTAAAGTGATCAAACCATATGGAAAAAGGATTGAAAACCATTTCAGTTGTTGGGATTGATTGTTCTACATCAACACTGCACATTCACAATATTGACTAGATATTAACCATCAGCTACCCTTTATGTTACAAGGCTTTTGCAGCCACCTGCCCTAACAGTCAAATGTAGGAATTCTGTGAGTTCCTAATCTTTACCAGCTTCAGAAAATCTGAAAGGGTAAAGGGTTGGAAGGAACCTCTGGACATCATTTAGTCCAATCCCCCTGCCAAGGGAGGCATTTCCACAAAAAAAGAGAGCGGAAAAATTAACAATATACATACAATTTCTAAAATTGTCATATGACTGCATTAAAAGAGATATGAAGAAATGTGTATCAAAGTCTTCATGGGTTTTTTTGTGTTTGGTCTCTGTTTTCCAGCTATCAAACAAGTAATTATTATTGGCAGTGTATTTGGAATAGTCGGTCTTGCAGTCCTGGCCCGTCTGGGTTATTTATGCAGAAAGTAGAGGTAAGCCTTCACTGAACTGAAAACACAAATGAACCTCCTAAAGAAATAGCAACTGTTACTACTTTTTAAATAATAGTTTAATAATAACCACTGGCAAAAAACTGCCAGTGTGCTACAGGTAAAAAAATAAAGTGCAACTGATGTATACACACTTATCAACTGTGTGTGCAACTGATTGGTGGAGAAAGAGGGCAACATAGTGAATGAAAATCGTTTTGCTTAGGAATACTGGTGAATTGAAATGGAGATATGTTTGATTTTCTGAACTTTGTTAGAAACTGTTACAAATTTTAAGTCTTCTCTGTTCCAGTGTCCACACGGAATAAAATGCCAGATAAAATGGAATTGAAATTGAATGAATGGAAACAAAATGGGGTTACAGCCCTTGGAAAGAAGACTGTATGTGTGAGGAAGAACTAAATACTTCTGAACTTATCACAAAAAAAAAAAAGAGCAGTGCCAAGCTAACAGAACACTGCTATTGTTTTTCAGTATTTCATCAGCTTAAAAATGCTACATTCACTAGGAATTCAGCTCAAGGAAATAAGAATGTGGCGTATTATGCTGTGATATTAAAATTTATGTGTAAAGCCATGCTGCTATATGGAGACCATTTTTTGCTTTCTATATGTGTCACAAAGGCCAGAACTGTAAGCATAGTTTCCATCTCAAAATCAACCTTACAGCTTTATATGGCAGGAGGTTTCTGTATGCTAGAAGTGAGATGCACCCACACTGTGCATTGATAGAACAGTTAAGGCCTACAAACTGTATTTTGATTCTTCCCCTTTCAGATGAGCAAATTGTTCTCTCTCAGTACGGGTTGCTATTTGATTACAGAGCAGTGGTATAACGGGGATACAAGGATATTTACCCTATTTCTGTTCCTGACAAAGCATTGTTTTAAATGGTTTTTTCACTGTTAGTGGGGGGTGTGGGGTGTTCTGTTGGCTGCTTCTTAGCGAAGCTGTTCTACCATTACTAAAATATCTCACAGGCCAGGTAAAGACTTTATAGAAGTCTTGACATTGCCACCTTGACTCTTTGTCAGTCTGTATCTTCAGGCAGATAAAAAACCAACCAAACAAAACACAAACAAACAAACAAAACCCCCTATCTTTCTGCACGGTCATACTTTCAGAAAGCAGCGCTGCTCCTCTTTCGGTCGCTGCCGGCTGTTTGTCGCTCTGGGTGTGAGCTGCGCTCCAGGCGGGGGTGTCCCCTCACGTCCCCTCAGCCGTGCCCGCCCAATGTCCCGGCTCCCTGGGCGTGGTGGGCGTTCGTGTGGCTGTCAGTGTGGCTGTCAGTGTTCCTGTCAGTGTGGCTGTCAGTGTTCCTGTCAGTGTGGCTGTCAGTGTTCCTGTCAGTATGGCTGTCAGTGTTCCTATCTGTGCAGCTGGCCCTGGCCCTGGCACCCGGGGCCAGGACAGCGGCCCCCGCCCGGCCTCAGCTCCGCCCGCCTCGGGACGCGGCCTACGGGGGCCACGGGGGTTGGGCAGCCGCGCTCCTTTCTTTCAGCTTTCCCCGGGCACGGCTCCGCCGCCCGGTCACTTCGGTGGGGCGGGTGGTGACTTTTCACTTTTAGAACGACGCCCTAAATCGCGGCGTGCGGCGCTGGCACCTCGCCCCCCGCGGAGCCGCTCATGCCAGCGTCCCTCGGAAAGTTTGCAGCGCTCTCCCCCTGTGCCGTGTCCGTCCGTGCCTCGGCGGCTCCAGGGGAGGAGAGAGTGCTGCACCTGCGCTCTCCATCGGCTCCCACAGCCCCCGGGCAGCCCAGCGGGCGGAGGGTGTGCGCGGGGCAGAGGCAGCGGCCGGCCTGGCCAGGCCACGGGACTGACGGGCTCTTGCCCGACCTCTTCCGCGGGACACTGGCTACGAGGGGAGTGACGAGAGCGAGCCTTGGGTCGCTGCTGGGATGGAGGAGTTTGTGTGTTTGTGTGTCTGCGTGTGTGGCGAGGCGTCCCGGCAGGCGAGGAGGGCTCCGCGGGGCCAAAGCGCTGCCCCGGGGCGGAGGCGGCCAGCCCGAACCTGTCGGTGTCAGAAGTGGAAGCGGCAGCTCTGCGGTCCCGCGCTGCAGCAGGTTGGGATGTCGGTCTCTATCCTTTCCTGTCACATGGCTGGTAATAGGATCCTCATCTGCCACTCGGCACCTCGCCGGGGCGCACTTACAGGACACATGCTGTAGGGCCTCCGCTTCCCGCACTTTGCGCTCTTCCCGGCCGCCTGCCACCCCCGGAGAGCCGGGGCTGCCGCCTGCGAGCGCGGCGCGGCCCGGCGGCCGCTGCCTATGGAGCCTCCCGCCCTCGCCGCCGTCCTGGCCTTCTCCGGGCTGGCGCTGAGCTGCTGCCGCGAGCCCGTTCTGTCCGGTGAGTGCCGCTCCGCGGGGAGCCGGGAGGGGGGCGCGATCGGGGCTGCTCCCCGGGCTGCTCGCAGGGCTGAGCGGCGAGGGAGCGGGGCAGCCTCTCCCCGAGCCCCGCGAACCCGCAGCCCCCCGCGGAAGGGCTCTGCCGCCCGGCAGCGCCTCTTCGAGGTCGCGACGACGTCTCTTCCTGCTCGCCAGAGCCGTGCCGGGCTCGAAGCTGCTCGTGCAAGCACGCAGCGGGTGTTTTAGCCTGGAGTTCGTGGGTATTTGAGGCTCTCCCCGTGCTTACTGAACCGGGATCTCGGAAACTCCTGTGAAAGCACGATGTGAGAGAGAGAAGAGCAGCACGTTTCTCTGTAGAAGTGGTTCGATAGCTAGGTCTGCGGAATGGAGGCATTTAAAGGGAGAGTGGCGTACGATTGTTTGTGTCACTGGGGAAAAACCTGTGGCAGCAGAGGGTGAGCATCCCGCCTGTCCGCAGTGTGCTGCCCCAGCTCCCAGCCAAGCCTGGGCTCCTCTGACCATTTAGGTTCAGCCAAAGAGACGGGGAAGCCTGAAGCTTCTCTTCCTAAAGTGATTTTTCACTTAAAAATTTCTCTGCACCCTTTTGTCCTCGTTTTAGTTGCTACTAATGATTTCAAGTACTGTGGTTCTCCTCTGGTAAACATTGGCCATGCTTTGCATGATCAGAAGTGGCAGTTCCAGATGGTCACAGCCATCAGACGTGGGGTCCTTCTGGATACATTTTGTGTATTCTTAATTGCTGTTTCTTCTTACAAAGTAGAATTTGCTCTACTTCTTTTTGAACACATACTTGCTCATCAAGTTTTTTGTAGATGTACCTAGTTAGATATGGAAAATACTTGCATAGCCATTTTCAGTTAATAAAAAAACTTTTACAAGAAAAAAGTTCTGGTAAACTTTACTTCTTCTCAGAAGTAAAACATGAGAGTATTTTCAGATCAGCATTTAGAGAATTGCCTAGACAGGGACCACGTCTAAGAGTCTGTTCCCAGTACCATTAGGATGTGCTTGGTGCAGACAGGGGATGCTCCTTCCTTTGCATAGGTTGAAGTTAGTTTTGCTTGTAAGGTTTCTGAACAGAACACTCCATGTGGAACCGTGTCTCTCACAGAGGGCTGTGTGACAGCAAGAGGAGGATATGGCCCAGTGTGAATGTTTGGCTGTTAGAGGGGACAGAAATGCCTGAGCACAAGCAGCTGGGGCTGGGGGAGGACAGAAGAATATATAATGCCTCCAAATGAAGGTGTAGCAAAAGAAAATGGATCTAGAAAGTAATGCCACCTATGTGTCTTCTGCTAAAGAACCTGGAAACGGTGCAAATACAGCAATTTGTAATTTGTGTGGCAGAGTTCCTAATCTGCACAAGGTACACATCAGGATCTTTGTCTTGACCCTTAATCCCACAGAATTGAAGTGGGATCAGCTGTGTCAGGTTGCACTTGAAACTAGCAGAATTCTGAAATTACAAGCATTGCTATTGGTTTCAGAAGGTAGTTTGTCATAGGGCATGTTTTTAATGCCTGTTCTTTTTTTGGCTTTTTAATACATGTCCTTATAAGCTTATTGTAAAGAATAATCAGAATAAAGTCTGTGTCCCCATCATTTGCTGAGATAGGAGAAAAACTTCTGGAATTAGTTTATGAAAAATTACTCCAGTTGTCAGAAATGAAAGTGAATTAACAACCATTTTTGCACATAGTACTATGCTACTTTTCACAGAATGTTTCTGCTTCACTGTGTGATATCTAACAGTTTCTATTAATTCAAACACTGACATTTCTGCATTCAAACATCAGCCATATATAATTTCTCAAGTGGATCAGAAATAACAAGTGCGTGAATAGACTACCTACCATTAAAGGACTCTTTGAATTTGCTGAGTTTTATGTTACAAGGCCAAAGAAATGGAAATGCCTTCAGCAAATGTTAGTTTTGGTGAACAAATGTTATTTTACATACTCAGTGCAATAAGTTATAATTTCTAGTTTCTGTACTTATAGCATTCATTTAATTTCCCCATCAGAAATGTATATGATTATCAATCTCTCTTTCCTTTCTCTGTTTTCTTTCCATTTAGCAATACTGAGTCACCTCGTTCTTGGTTTTTTTCCCAGCTGAGTCTTTCCTTTGAGCTGTTCCAGCCTTCTCTTATAAACCTGCTATCTCTTGTCATCTTATTCTGTCTATGCCTTGGTGATTCAGAGCAGTTCTACTTGATATACCATAAGCAAGCCTCATGAAAATACTTTCAAAAGCAATTTTTTTTTTCTTTCTAACTAGGCAGATAGGGGATGAAATAGTCAGACATTTCAGCATATCATGCTTGTACATGCATAGAGCATAACTCAAAATCCAGAGTTATGTGAATGGATTTAAGCAGGATGGAGCCAAAGAAGTAGGAGGGAGGCAGGGATTACATGCTGCCAGCTGCAAAATTTTCATTTTTGTCATATCACACCATAGTGGTTGTGAACTTGACCACTCCCTTCATCTACACAGTGGCTATGGCCCATCCTGATAAAATTGCCAAAGGGATTCAGCCTGCCACACTTGACAAGGGTACAACAGTTTTAAAACTTCACAAAGAAAGAAAACAAATGGGTGTATTAAGGAGCAGAAATTCTTATGGGGTCACATCACGCATTCTTACTTGCAGTGATAAAGAATCACAAGGCAAGCGTGTTTGCATCTTGTGGCTGACGACCAGCCAGCAGCTGCAAAGCTCTGGCTAATATAGCATGTTTGTGTTGTACAAATAAAAAGAAAAAAGGGACAGAATGCATTGAGAAATAATGGGAACTGTCTCTTGTGCTTATAACCTAACTTGCCTGCTTCCAACATGTTCCAGAAAAGGTTTGGCCAGACAGGTTGTTTTGGGGTTTGTTTTTTTTTTTTTTTTAACAAAAAAAAAAGATTGATGAAAAGTGATTAGCTTGATGACTAGAGTCAAAATTTCACAAGGATAGCAAGTTCACATATATCACAGCTCACACACTGCCAGGGAACACAAGAATCAACTCTGCATGTCTGTACATTTCCAGGAATGTTCATTTTTACAAGAGAGATGCTTCAGTCAAGGTTTGATCAAATCTCAGGTGGCATAATTCAAGTATAATCAGATATTCACTGTGGCTACCCTCTGGCTTGGACCAATGCTAATTAGGTCTCTAATTCTGACTAGCAAAAAGGATTGCATTTGAGGACTTTCAAAATTTGTATGGGTATGTCTGTGTGTGTGTTTGCATGGATATGTAGAATGAACAGGATACAATTTTGAAATTACATGTGGAGTGCTTCCACACTGTAAAGGAAAAAATGATCAGCTAATCAAGTGACCTCATAGCATCACATCAAAACTTAACTGTGTGATTTAAGAAACAGGGAGTTGTTTTCTAGGAATTTTGAAAATTGCAATTTTAAACAAAGATAATTATTTTGTGATTTTTTTCTTTAGCTTGTACCAGCTGTTCTGTTATTGGGGGTTTTTACTGTTACAGCACAGGCACAGAAGCCTGATAGTTGTGATGAGTGGTTGTATTATATTAGTATGAATTGGAATAGAAAAGTATTGAAATGTAAAAATACTACACTATTTTTTTACTTGGGTAGATCTAAATCAGCCTTGTACTTCCCAAAAGCATTTATTTTGCATCATAACATAATATGGAATGAGATTTTTTTTTTTCCCTGACCACTCATATGATAGTATGCAAATTAACTTTTGGTTCAGTCGATAAAACTTCGTCTTCAAAGAAAACCATTTCAATGCTAAAAATATTTTTAATAATGACCACAGAAGCCATATTTGTGTCTTTCATCTCCTGAAGCTTCTTCTGGTTTTAATCAGTGTTCCCACATGAAGAACTGTGGCAACCTATGATAATAGAATCCCTATTCACATCTCTAGGGAAACAAAAATGTTCTCATTTGAAGAAGGTGATGTGGTGTTTTGCCCCTTCCACCCGTGGGCCCCTGCCTCTGTCACTGCCGGGGTATCTTGGCATCAGTTAAGTGGTTTCTGTCCTTTCCTCTCTGTGTTACTTTCTCATTGAAGTGTTTCTGCTGTCTAATTATACCCTTTCAATCAAATTAGAGACTGCAGCATCTGGTTAGTGCCTGTAACTGTTGCCATCTGCACCTAGATACAGTGCTTTCATTTAAGGAGGAGTGCTTAAATTTCAATCTCCAGCAAGAACTAGAACAGTTTAGATAGAATGGAAATGACTTAAAACTATTCTTGGAATACTATGCAAGCACATGCATCAGGCAACCCACACTGAGTCATTATCGGATCTGGCACCCTTGGTTTTGTACCCTTATATTCTGCTTAAGCATTTTTCTGACTTTTCCAAAAGTCTGTAGGAAAAACAAGTGAAAACTGAGCATGCAGTTATACCATGTAAATTCAAGGAACCCTTAATTTTTGGTCCAACCTTACAGAACGTTTAATTACACCACTGTAATGAAACCCAAGATTTAAATAACAGCCACTTTCATTTATGTTTCATTAATCTGCAGACCTTTAAAAGCAAACCTTGCTTTTTGTTGGGCAGTAGGTGGTGGGATAATTTCTGGCTTGGGTAGGCTAGTTTCAGGTTGATAATTGTTGTCAGTCTCTCTGGACACTACTCAGTGCTCCAAGCAGCTTCCAAAACATTAAGCAAACAAAGTGGTTTGGGTTGTTTTTTTTGCTCTCCAGTGGAATAGGAAGAAGTTTGTCATTCTGAATTTTCAGTCTCAAAGGCTATGCACAGGCCTCAAACTTGGAAAGTACTCTAAGAAGTCATTTAAACCATCCTGAAACCTCCATCCCTTCAGTCTGCAATTTGTAGTGTCTCTCTGGATAGATATCTTGGAGAAAATCATTGCAGGCTAATGCAGACTCTGAAATGTCAGTGATTTATCATCAGTGAAAAAGTCAGGCTATTATAGTCTGAACTACCTTAATTTTTCAAATGATCCTAAAGTGGTGCCCATGTGGAGTGCAGGCAGCCTTGCAGTCCCAAAGTAACAAAAGAAAATGATCATTGTAAGGTCCCTACATTGAAGAAGAAACCGACACAGATGGAAAGAATTTCTACAACAGCTGCTGTTTGATCTTCCAAATGTTGATCTGGCTCTAATAAAACTAATTGTGAACCTGTATCACACACTGAGTATTCACTTATAGTGGACAACATCCCTAGTCTTGTTTTCTGCTTTTCTGTTCTAGCAGTTGTCACTCATTACATACTTACCTAGTCTCAGCATTCATTTTAAAAAGTTACTTGCTGTCAGCCACGGCACCTGATGTGTTGAAAACAAAACAGCCCTGACAACAAAGTGCTGTCCGTGTTTTCTCACTAAGGCTCATGAACATTAGCCTGAACAGCACCTGTTGGAAGCTTTTGTGACTGGAACCACTGCAAAGGTTCTCTGATTAATTATTGCTGATTAATCTCTGATTAATTATCTTTAAAGCCATCCCCATGACACAGTAGTAGCAGCAGGGTCATTAGGCAGTTAATTGAGTGAAATCATCATGGACACTGATTCTAATCACAGATTTGACGTAAGCCTCTGCTTCAGACTATGTCTGAAACCCAGCTGACTAAGATCTTAGAATTATGAGGTCACACATTTCTAGATTTGAGTGGTCACAGCTTTCTTTATGTCCTGTCTGAAACCCAAGTGTTTTAGTAGAGGTTTATAGCTGACAGGACAGTTTGAACCTTGCGTGCATGAACAAAATCCATGTGGCAAATCTGTCAAGCACTGGTGCCTTCTTGGGGGCTGACAGCTGTGGTGTCCACAATGTGTTCTTCCCTTGCTGTCTTTGCCACTGGGAGAGGACTTGGATACAGTGCAAGTTCTGTCATAGTTTAACATAATCTTACAAAACTTTAAGTTATAAGGCTTGCTGAAATTCATAGAAGTGGTATTAATTTTCTTGAGTCACAGTTCTGATATTACATTCCAAGTGAGGGGCTTCATACCCTAAAGTTGTCATGGAATTATCACTCACCCTAAGGCAGTTGGATCCAGTGGGTGCCACAACACAGAGAGGTGGTTGTTGCTGGTTGATTTACTCTTTTCCCTCTCCCTTTTGCATAAGCTACCAAAGAGAAACCAGGTGATTTGAGTAAGACAAAGAGTTTCACCAACAGTGTTCAGTCTAGTCTTTCCTGACTGTTTAATTTAGATGACCTCATCTGAATTAGTTTTGTGCAGACAAATCTAGGTGACCTTTTTTTAAGCTCATCTTTTCACAGTATTATTGCACCAGGGTACAAGATGAAAAGTAGGGTGGAGGTTCAAACCTCCTGTTCTCCAGAATCTCTTTGGACTTGGAATTGAAATAGAGGACAGTGTCCTTTCTGCAGATGAAACATGCACCTTCAGCACATTGAGAGTATTAATTTCATGGTGAAATCACTAAGGTAGTGTCTTGGCTGTCATGCAGCAAAATATGATGAAATCACTGTGTGCATTAGACAGAAGAATTTAATTGTTTACTGCCAGGATAGTGAATATGCTGACATCTGTAACTATGCTACTAGGAATTCTACAGAAAACTGTACAAAATATATCTCAGCAGATCTCAAAGCTGACTGTTCAAGGTAAAAGAATGTAGGCTTGTGTCCTGGTTTCAGCTGGTATGATTGTTTTCATTAGTAGCGGCTATGGTGCTGTGTTTTGTATTTAGTGTGAGAATAATGTTGATAACACACTGATTTTTTACTTGATATCAAGTAGTGCTTACTCTAAATCAAGGAGTTCTTAGTTTTCCATGCTTAGCTGTGAGCAGGTGCACAAGAAGCCAGGAGGGAGCATAGCAAGGACAACTGACCTGATTTTTTTAAATTGCCAATATTTATTTGAAAATAGTGCACTCCCATGCTATGGTAAAACTGTTATTAATCCTTAACAAAATCCAAATTCCCTGTAACACAAAAGGTTTTGTATTTCATTTGATAACAGCTGCTAAATTCCATGACTTAAAGTTTTCACTAGAGTGTTTCAGGGATAATCAATGATTTTTTTGTGGTGTCTCACTGCCTCCCCTTTCCACATCCACATCTAAGCCAGGGGAGCTTTGTTACAGCTCAGCTGGCACATTTGCACCAAATCTCTTGATAGTGCAAAGGAACACAGGAGGCACTGATACAGCTACCTATTGTCTTGGGAACAAAAAGCTGCAGTTAAGAGGAATGAAGAGAGATCTGACTCTTCCTTTTTTTCTTAAAGTGCAGTGAAGTTTGAAGAAAATCAGTTAAAAAAAGCTGACACGAAAATGTCAGTCACAACTGCCTGTTAAAGCATGGGCCAGTCTTAGCAGATCCTAAAATGGACTGAAGTTAATTTCAGTTTAGTTTGTGTGCCAGACTACATTCAGGTATTTTGCATTCCTTACATTTCTGAGTAGATGGAAGTATCTATTGCTTTTCATTTAGGAGCGAGAAGCAAAAACAAAATAAAAGCACAAAGCTGATGTAGATATATTTTCTGGATGTGCTTATCACTTTTCACAATTTTTTTTTGCTGCATATTATTTTATCTATTTTTGATGACATTTTTCTCTCTTTTCTGCTAAATTCATCAGCTTATATTTTTCCGCTATAACCTACAAAAGCTTTTATATTAACTGCAAAGCAAAAGAGGTATTGAAGAAAGTTAAAACACAGTTGTGACCTTAAAGTGGTTTTTTTCCATGTTTATGCAAATACCTGTGGTGGCCTGAGCACTGGAAACTCAGATTTGCATTTTTAAGCAAATGTATGCAACCCACCTGTATTGCTAAGGCAGGTAAATTACAGTAAGGAGGAGTATTGACCTGAAGCTTGTTTTTGTTAAATTATACAGCTTTCTGTCCACAGATGATAGCAGAATACATTAATGGCTCTTCTGTGTGCCTTCAGCAACAAAATTTCATTTAATAGAAATCCAAACCTGCCTAGGCATGAAAATGCATAGTGAGAGCACAAAACCATTGTCTTTCATCTGCTGTGTAATAGAACTTTGAAATAATTATTATAATTGTACCACTCTGATATTTGTGAGCCCAGACTAAACTAATTTCAGAAGCATGGTGTTAATAATATATTTTTCCTTCTTCAACAGTAGTTCTAACAAAAACGGTGTATTGTTAATATCAGGATTAAGATGTGGGTGAGTTTTTTTTTTCCTCTTCCAGCTGCAGCCACACAGGTCTTTCTAGACTTGTTTTGTAAGTTAGATCTCATGAGGGACACCTGAGATCAGCACATACTTCAGAGCACTCTCCCACTCCCTCAGGGCAGTAGAACATCTCTGCAGCTGCAATATGGTTTCTACAAGAGAGCACTATCAGATGAAACAGGAGGTTTCACAGCCTGTAGTTAGCAGAAAGATTTGGGAATTTGTGGTTTCCCCAGTAATGCTGTCCAGTACAAAGCAATGTTTACAGCAGTGTAACGCAGCAGTTTTAATTCTGTCACAGACTGTTACATTTTAATCCTATTCTTAAATAAATGCAAGGATGATAAATGTTAGCAAGTATTAATTATAAACAGGATAGACTTATTTATGGTAAATTAATTATAATGATTCTTTCTGGAAGATAATCACAGACTGGTTGAGATGAAAGTGACCTCTGGAGTTCATGTTGTCCAACTGCTGTGCTCAAGCACAGTCACCTAAAGCAGGTTGTCCAGGACCATGGCCAGGTGGCTTTGGAATATCTCCAAGGATGGAGATTCTACAGCCTCACTGGGCAACTTGTTCCCATGCTTTGCCACACTCACATTGCATAATTTAATAAAAAACGTTTTGCAATTTCAGCAAAAGTACAATTGTTCATGCATTGGGATATTTATTTCATCAGAAGATGTCCAGTGAACATGTCCATGCCTGTGGCAGGGAGGTTGGAACTGGATGATCCCTAAGGTTCCTTTCAACCTGAACCATTCTATGGTTCTGTGATTAACAAGGCCCAGCAAAGCCAGGCAGCATGAAATTTGTACTTCAGCTGAGAAGGGGCTAATGCATTTAGTAACTAGAGAAATCATTCTCTACTTTGGTTTCTAACTTGCTGAGTATAAGGAGGCTAGGAAAACAAATGTAAGTGGGAGAAAATAGAATGCTGAGAATACTGAGCCATACTTTTTAATCTGAAAGCATAAATGCTTTAGTAGCAAATCACAGTATTGTGATTATACTCTGTTGAAGGAGATCCCTTTCTAAGGCAATTCCATCCCTAAGAATTTTTCTAAATCAGAATGTAAATGTTGATAATATCCATGCTTACTAAGTCTTCCACTTTGTAAAGTACAGATAGTGACAACTTTAGCTGAAGTGGCGTGAGATTTTGGTTAATATGCTGGTAAGTAGCAGATGGATAGTGTCATATGATTTCATTTTTGGAAAATGAAAAAGTTACAGAGTCAGAAAACAGTAAAAAAGTATTATGCTTATTTAGAAAATGCATTTTGTGTAAATCTCTCTTCAGACCTGTTTTATACATTGTTTATTAAAGTATTGACATCATAATATCTTGAATAGGGGTTTGACTGAGAGAAAGCTTAAATCTTTATCTGTCTAAACAATGCATGGTCTATTGGATATGGGGTGGAGGGTGAGGGAAGAACAAGCACTAAACCTACATTCATTCTTTTTCCATTTCCCTTTCTTCCCAGAATGCTATACAGCAAATGGGGCTGACTATCGTGGCACTCAGAACCAGACCTCCCAATATGCAGGGAAACCTTGTCTATTTTGGAATGAGACCTTTGAGCATCCTTATAATACTGTGAAATATCCCAATGGGGAAGGAGGGCTTGGAGAGCATAACTACTGCAGGTAAGAAACATTTAACATTGCCTGTTATACGCAGTGTTACTTTGAGCAGCTGACAGAAAATTAGGAAACATTCTGTCGTGCAGTGAAGAATGTCAGAACCATGGGTATCTAACACTTTTTTTGGTTTGCCCTGTAATCAGTACCCTGAATCTATGAGCAACATTAGTAGAATAACTTTTTCAACCCAGTTCCCACACTTCTTCAGCACAGTCCAAATCATGTGTCAAATTTATAAGGTGGCACAACAGACTATAGATTACTTAAATGAAAAGGTGGAGATAAAATTATCCAAATTAGAAGTACAGCAGTTAACTGAGTGTCTGGAGGAGTCTCTGGATGTTTTTTATCCTCACACACAAGCCTGGTTCTGTTACATTCTCCAAATTTTGTGCTAAAGTTTTGTTCTAATGAAAGTTATGTAGTCACTAAAAATTCCAAGTGAGAATCAGTCATTTAGAGTTATTTGAATTCAGAAGCTCATCTGTCAGGGGTTACAATACCAGATTAAACCATGGCAGATGCACTTCTGTTTCCTTGCCTTCTAGAGAAGTCCTCCATAACTATAGATAGAACAAAAATAAGAACTTCAGAATTTAGGAGCCAAATCAGAACATAAGTTCAGAGATGTTTTGGCTCTGCAGGCTTTTTTTCAGGTCTGTGTCTCAGGAGGCATACTAATACAGAGCTGTGAAAAATACAGTGCCACTGAATTCTCTCCGATACAAATAGCAGAATCAAGAATGTTATTCTGATTGTTGCTGTGTGGCAATATTCTAGACAGGCTGTATCTACAGGATCTTACTTTTGGCAGTCATCTCTGGCTAATATTTTGGTTACTACAAAGCAAAACATTTACAAGCTGTGCAAAAATACGCATGAGAAAATGAATGTCTATCCAGATATTCAAAAAACACCTACTTGAGTCTTGCTTTACCTAGCAAATGAGAACTTGGTAAATGTTACTAGGAGCAAGAAGCCTATAATCTGATATATAAACCTGAAAAATTACTTAATTACCAAATAGAGCTTTTTTTACCTCAGTCTGCTAGGTATTAGATTATCCTCATTGAGGTAAAGTTTGCCTGGAAGGTTAGGCATTTTCTTCCTTATGCTGTATCACCTGGCCTAGGAATATTCTCCCAGGTGTATGGAATGACAGTCCTAACTAATGGATAACTTTTAACTTCAAATTCTCTTGAAAGAAAGCTTGGAAAGTCACTGAGAGTGCCAGAGTATATCTTTAGCATGCAAATGTTGTCGAGGCCTGTGATACAGCTGTTTTAGCTCTTTCTCTGACATTCATCTGCTTGATGACAATGGACAAGTTGATCTTCCCTTTTCTCAGGCAGCACATACCTCACAAGGCTTTTCTAAGGCATAATACATCCCTTTCAGATTTGATTTTAGGGACAACATTTGAATAATTGAATTTTACACTTGAAGTATGAATCAGAAACATGTTACCTCTCCATGGGTGGTCCTTACTTGGAATATTTTGTTTATTGCAAGACACCCTGTTAAGATGGAAATGGCTTATAGCATTCCACTCATTTCAACCATAACAAAATTATGAAGACTGAAATTTTTGGAGACTTTGAAAGACAGAGAGTTGTTTTCTAACTGCATGCACTTCTGAGGTTAAAGACAAAGATTTCTAAACACATTCATCATGTTTCTCTACAATTTCCTCACATTTTTAAGGCATTTATGTGTAGAGTGCTGTTATCACGATTGAATTCCAGACATAGGGTTTCTGTCATGAAGATGTAAATGCTAAAATTCCTTTAACTCTGGAAACAAGGGAAAATGGGTTAGTTCAAGTACAAGCTTCACTTGGTTTTAGTCTTCTACTTTTTTTAGCTACTGGAGGCTCTTGCATTACATCTAAATTCCTAGCATAGCTAGTCTTAGACTTTCCTTGTTCACTACCTCTACTAATCTGTTTGAAAGCCTAACTAGCAACATTTTAGTCATCTAAACTGCACTCAACTCACCAGTTGTTTTCAGCAGTCTGCTATTTGGCCAAAAAACATCCACAGAATTTCTAAAATTGGATCTCCCACAAAAGAGTTGCTAATAGGCGTAAATGACAACATGCAGCTGAACTGACACATCAGTAGGGCTGTGTCATTAATAGAATTCATGCCAAAGTTCATGATAAAAAAGATTGCAACTGGTCCTAGTTAAAAGGAAAAGTCATATTTCAACCTGACTGTCCAAAATAACAATTTATTCTCTTAAATAGATCTTAACAATGTGAATAGCTTTTCACAGTGTACATAGAAAAAACTTTAAATAACTTAATGACCAGTGAGGTGTGCATTTGTAAGTGGTGCTACACAACAGCAAATAATTATAAAAATAGTGATCATCATCATCATGGACACATAAGGAATTAACCATCGATATAAAGCAATCACTGGAATGGATTTAGTCAGTTTTATTGAAGGGGAGGAAAATAATTCAGTCTATCCCAGAAGATTTAATCAGCTAAGTGTTTTTATCACCATACACACAGAAAGTTGGAGTCTGGGCTGTTTTGTACCAAGGCAGAAAATCAAGTTTATGAGTCTGTGGAACCTGTACACAGGATGTGAGACAGAAAATCTTCCTCTCTGTCAGTACTGACCAGAAATAGCTCTGCACCTTTTAACCTTAGAGTAAAACAAAGCTATATTTTAGACATTGCTAGCATCTTATGCTTGATGAATACTGTAATAACCAAAGCTATCTAAACTTCCTGATAATGCAAAACTTTGCAATTTTTTGGTATATAAGTTCAACAGTAGGTATTAGAGCAAAAATAACAATGCCATTGAGGTTTAATAAGATTGATTTTTTTGTGTGTGTGGTTTTTGAAAAAAAAAATATGAATTTCACTGGCTGTTTTTCAGAAACCCTGATGGGGATGTCAGCCCATGGTGCTACATTGCAGAACATGAAGATGGAATATACTGGAAATACTGTGAGATTCCATCCTGCCGAAGTAAGAGCTCAGTGCAATTTATTTAGGCCTGCATCTCAGTTGAGCAGAGATTGGCAGTTATACAACAGTGGTTGGTGATTTCCAAACACAAACTAGGATAAGGCAAAACAGCTTATTTTCAGTTGCAGACTAAGCTGTATTTTAAACAGGTTTCTTAGGGTTTATGACAAGCTTATTGAATTGTTTCTCCACTGCTATCCTTTTCATCTGATCTCAAAATTATTGGATATTATATTATTTACAAATAATACTGTATGACGGAATCACACAAAATATGTGAAGTACTGCTAGTTCTTTTAATCCATAGATCATTAATTTATTAAAATCTAGAGAACAAAAAAGGGAAAGTTTTTACAAGGTATATTCATATCCATCCATTGCAATTAGCTCATAAAATGAATTACATTAGTTTAATGTGTATAGAGCATCATACACAGAATTGCTTGGAGGAAACAAAAATATGAGAGGGCACAGTGGAAAGGTGTCTGTGGTGTATGGGAACTCTGGACTAGAATTCTGACAGGTTCAGATACTTAGAATTGCTATGAAACCATAACCTGGACTTCAATTTTTTTAAAATCAGATAATTCACAAGCTACTTACATGAAGCTTCTTTCCAGAATTTAGTATTTTTTATGTATTCTATTTTTTACCGTGTCCACAATGTCATGTCATGATTTGTGTCAGTATGTTCCAAAATTGTCTTTCCCCAATCACTTCTTTTAAAATATGCCCAAATATTAAGAAGATAACCTAGTTTTGCCTGTTAACAAGCAACCATAGCTACTACATTTTAGTAAGTCTAATCATTAATGTTTTCACTTGCTTTCCTAACTTCTTCTGTGCAAGTACCCTCTGTTTCTAAGGCATAACTTGGGTGTTCACTGCTAAGCAGCAGAACAGGTGTCCATATGTAGATACACATTTGATTGGAAGAAGTATATTTCTTACTTAAAGTTAAGAAAACAAAACAAGCAAAAAGGAGCTAAAGTGATTTTTTTTTTAAAATTTTGTTCATAGCTTTGTTGTTTTGGTTTTTTTATGAACATGAATGACTCACATCTTCATGCTAGGCAAACAAATACGTAAGTGTGACCTTAAGACAGATACCTTTTACCTAGACTTAAATTCAGATTAAGGGGTCTAATTTAAATAACACAAAATCATTCAACAATCTGATACTCATTGTTCAGAGGGCATCTTACTCTTATTTTTCTAATATACCAGGCATGATTTAAGAAACCTGACACTCCTAATTAAGAAATTTAACTTGGTCTAAAATGAAAGAATTTGCATTTTCTTTAAAGACCACAGATGTTAACAAATTATCTGGATATGGCACCAGGAAAAAAGCTGAAAGGCAAATTCTCTCCACTCCATTTGTTCTACACAAAGGATCCTTTTAAAACCAGCCTCGCTCATTTTCTCTGTGGTGGGGAGCAGAGGATTTAAACTTGGACACTTACTTGCACAGATAATCCAGACTTACATTTACAAAATGTCCTTTTGACCAGTAGCAGCTGCTTCAAGCATTGCACTGAAACTCGATACTAGAAAAAGGAATTGCAGCAATTTAGAGCAAACTGTACATTGCAAGCCCATCCAAATCTTAATACAAACCTCATGGTTTATGAAGCTGTGTAAGTAAAAAAATCTTTTATTCTTCACCAGACTTTCTGTTTTCAGTAAGCATGATGCTAAGTCATAGGACCATCAAAACTATCTTGTGAAGTACACAACACAAAACTTGAGTTTTGTGATGGAACAAGAAAGCAATTGTGTAAAAAAAATTACTATTTGTAAATTTTTAGAGAAAAATTTCTTATATAAGCTTCTTTTCCTTAACAATATTTACTACTAGAAAATTATCTGGAACATAAGTTACCTATTAACTGTGCCCACATAATACCATGGCAGTGCCAACAACATGAAGCATCTTGATTGCCGAGAGAGATTTGCATGCAATGACTCATCTCAAGAATAATTAAGAATCTACAGTTAAGAATTCTTCATTATGGTGATGAATTCACATGATTATATCATGTGTCTCATTCCCTAATATTCCCTAACACATAACACTACGTTCTTCAGTCAGAAATGTGTTCTGACATTCTGCATGTGTAATGTACAGAATTTAGCAGTGTTAGATGAAGATGGATGAGCATAATCACAGGAGACAGTGGTAGTTATTCCAGGAGGAGCTTCCCTTTTCTTCCTCTCTCCTCCTTGGTGTCTGCCAAGCAGACTGGAATGGACAGAAACAAAATAAAAGGCAAGACTGCAGCTCCAAGTCCTGAGAGAACATGTGCATCTCACATGGAGGATTCAGAACTGAATGCTTCAGATGGTTTGTTTGCAGTGTTGCAGCTATTCCCAACTTTTTTGGTCTCCTTGTTAATGAGGTTAGGTTTAAGTTCAAAGGAAATAACAACTTACACTTCCAAAATGTGAAAGAAAGAAAGAAAGGCTTGCTATACCACTTAATTACATTTTCATGTTTGTGACTCACATGACTCTCTCCCCATAAAGAGATTTCTGGAATTGTATTTCCAGAGTGCATGTATGTAATGTAATAAATTTGACTGAAATATTGAGGAGGTGTTAAATGGCAGGGCCAGGTAAGTTCTACAGAGCTATATGGAACAAAGGAACAGGGACAGTTCAAACAATTTGTGCAGACTGCCATTGCAAAAAACTAGGAGACTCTTCAAAGACAGCTAGATGAGCATAGCTGGAACATGGTTTTGAGCTCAAAATGATTAATTCCATATTTGAATACATTTAATACATGCCTTAACATGTAAAATGCAGAAGCTGTGGTGTTTGCCAGGACCTCGTTATGTCAAATGCTGCTTAAAAGAAAAATAATATGCTTATGCAAAAGAGGTGACCTTTTAAGCAGAAGAGGACAAATAGATACAAATGGGTGAAGACAGTGTAATAGTAAAACATCACCGGGGAGCATGAACAGTAATTGCAGAACACTGACTGTCTCATTTTGTGCCAAGTTTCTCTAGCAGGCTAAATATTAAGAGCAAAGAAGGTTAAAATACTGCTGGGACACCAAAGAAACTAATTAGTCTTAGGATGTACGCTTGATTTAGTTAAAAAATTTAAGAAGTTTTTAAATTACTCAGGTTTCTTAGCATGGAACATACTGAAGTACTAATCCTCTGGAGCCAAGGTTGAAATGTCTCACTAATAAAGCTACTTTAAAAAAGAAAAAAAAATTAAAAATCCCAGGTCTCTAGGAAAATGAGCTAGGTTGGATAACTAGGAAGATTCTTCAGGGCTGTGAAATCATGCACAATACAAAAAAGAATGAGCTCTCTCAGTTATCTGCCCAGCTGTACTCAGCTGGGGTGGGGCTGCAAGTGGGGATTTCCAAAGGTCTGTTAAATCAGGCTGTAACTTGAAGTCTCAGAACTTACACGGATGTTGCTGTGGGGCATATCAAAGCCATAACTCCCTGCAAGTATTTATAATTGAAATTGTATTCTTAGAGAACAAAATTAATTTATGAACAATATTTGTAGCAACATTATGTCATTATTTATAGTAAGTTTACTGGGTACTGTAATAACCAATGACTACGTAAATAAAACACTCATACAGGTCTCTGAGCACATCATGTCATACAGAGCTGTGGCACTTAGGTGGACAAGAAGAATCCATGTCAATCTGGCATAGGAATAAAATTTATCTTAACATAGACCTAGCTTAGTATCAGATTTAATTTCAGCTTTGTGAATAGATATGACAAGTGGGTAAGGGATAATTTTATGCCATTAGCACAGCACTGTATTGTACTCCACATCCTCTCTTGGAGGGTGGTCATTGCTTTGATGAAAAGTGCAAAACTAAAAAAAAACAGCACTGAAGGGGGAAAATTGATCTCCCATAGTGACCAAGGAACCTTGAAACATCATGTTGATGTAAATAGATGGGTTGCTTTTTAAAGTAATATTGCTCGTTTTTAATCTTGTTGTACAATGCTTCAGATTCATATCAGAATTCAAGTTTTAAATATTAGGAAATTCCCCTATATATAGTCCCTCCCATAAAACTTGCCAAACTCCATTCTATAACATGGGGGGTTTATCTTTAGGTTCCCTTCCTCAAGGATTCTTAGGTATATCTTTAGGTTGTCTTCCTCAAAGATCTTGTTTTGAAAACTTCCAGAATATAACTGTTTGGAAGATCAGACAGAAACCACAGAGTTTAATTTACATTTTCAGAATATGCATGCAATAGTAAAAAAAAAAAAACAAAACAAAAAAACCCCACAACACCCCTGAACCCATTTAATGCCTTGGGTTTTTTTAATTGCCTCTTTCAGGAGAAATGAACAAGGTATTTATCTTGTCTATTTTACTGCAGCTTACTGAAACCAGCTAGAGAGTCTTACAGGTATATTTGCTGAGAAGAGATGATACTCTTTTGTCCCATCACTCATCCTTGGGTGTGTTTGGAAAATATGACAAGAATCATACAGAGTACAGTAGCAAAGAGTAGCAAAGAGTAACAAAGAGTAACTCTTCCCACAGTGCAAAATCAAGCCCCCAACAGAGAGAGCTGCTCAGTGGCCAGGTAGTGCATGAAGTGGTCTGGGATGTTTAGAATGACTGTTGTGTATTACTCCTGCCAGTGCCAGGAAATCTGGGCTGTTACAAGGACCATGGAGAGCCACCACCTTTGACTGGCACAAGCGAGACCTCAAATAAACTCACAATCCAAACATGCATCAGCTCCTGCCGAAGTCAACAGTTTAAGGTGATTTCTTTGACATACATTTACAGAATGTTTTCAAAGACAGTAATGGCAACATGCCTAGAGCTCTCTGTCATATTTCTTCTCTTCCCCATATTTTTTTAACTTTTGGGAGGTCTAAGGTTACACTTCCACCCCAGAGATCAAGCCCTCTCTCTGCATCCAGAGGAATCTGTACAAATTACTAATGAGTAACGCCAGGAGAAAATGTGATTGCTTACTGTAATTGTGAGTGTCAGGGTGCCCTCCATTCCATCTTTCCCCCTAGTCTTAAGTAGCACCCTGACAGCCCAAACAAAAATAGCCTGTGGTGGTTCCTCTGACTAATCTTACTTCTCCAAAACACACATATTCTGCTGCCAGCTTTCTTGCTCAAACAACCTCCCGCTGTCACTCCTTCAAATACTTTTCCTCCCTTTCTTATGCATCTTTGTTGTCAAAGTTTGCAGGCATGGAATCAGGTTATGCTTGTTTCTGTGGAAATAATCCTGACTACTGGAGATACGGGGAGGCAGCCAGTACGGAATGCAACAGTGTTTGCTTTGGAGACCACACTCAGCCCTGTGGTGGGGATGGCAGAGTCATTCTTTTTGACAGTAAGTATTGAAGCAGGCTCAGTTTTTCCCAAAGGAGAGGCCTCACATGTTCAGCAAATTAGGGAAAAGGCTCAAAAACAGTGAGAACTGTTGCGCACCAAATGGCAAAACACCTCCACTTGGTACAAAATAAAGCAGCTTTCCATCTCTGCCTAAAATTCTCATCCATTAATAATGCAAAATAGCTCTTCCAAGAAATGATGCTCGCTCATGCTCCAGAGGTTCTCTCATTTTCCTCACAAGTGGGACTAAGCTATCAGAAACTCCCTAAGAAATGATCTTACTAGAGAGTAAAAAATTGTATGTGCATGTAGGGATGTGCATTGTCAGTTGATGGCATTTGAGTTGCTCTCTGGATTCGCTGGTGTGTAAGTTTTCAATTTCACACAGCTGTGAAGGAATGTCAGTCATTAAGCAGTGAGAGTTAATAGTCACTAATCCACTTGCCTGCTAGGGATGGAGTAGAAGCCCCTGAATCAGAGATTTCTCTTTTATCCCATTTCTGCAGTAAAGGGTACATGGTTACACACAAGGACAAAGGGTAGTTGCAGTATTCAAGATTGATGCATGGGTCAGAGTAATGAGGCATAAGGAGAGTATCCCAAGCAAAGGCAACAGAGGCTGTGCTCCCAGTGCTGTGGGAGGGAAAGAGCAGCTGCAGAGTGCATCTGCTGGCCTAGCAAGTCTGTACCTTTAAATCACATTTAAGTATTAGAATCTACAGGGTGCTAAAGCTTTTTGCAAAATTAATGTATTACCTCTTTTCTTTCTTCCCATTTTTCTCCCTTTCCACTTGTTTTCACAGCCCTGATTGGTGCCTGTGGAGGGAATTACACTTCTGCTACAGCTGTGATCTATTCCCCAGATTTTCCTGATACATATGGCACAGGCAAAGTCTGTTACTGGACCATACAAGTTCCAGGAGCATCTCAAATCCACTTCACCTTTGTCCTTTTTGAAATCAAAGATGCTACAGATATGGTGGAATTGCTGGATGGTTATACCTATCACGTTCTAGCTCGTTTTAATGGCAAGAACCGGCCTCCCCACACCTTTAACATCTCTTTGGATTTTGTAATTTTGTACTTTTTCTCAGATGACATCAATCAAGCCCAGGGATTTGCTATCAGGTATAGAGGTAAGAGGCTATTTTTGCCGTTTCTACCTTTCAGTGAAGCATTTAATTCACACAGGAGATTTCTGAAATGGCAATTAAAGAACAAATATTTTAGCTCTGACCTAACAGGTCATCTCTCTTGTTGCCACTACTCAGTGGGTAAAAGCTTTGCCAAAATTTCTCTCAGTTTAGAACATTCCAGTCAGCTACATCATAAATAGCAAAGCACAGGTTTTCAAAAATTCAATTCTATACCTTCCTGTTAAGACAGATTGGAAAATGACAAAGGGAAACAAAACAATAATCCATCTGCACATTGGTTCATCTTGGCTCCTTCCAACAGTCTCTTCCTCTCCCGTTGAAAGTCATCAGGATAAAATGTTCTGGCCCTTGAGCTGTACCTACTGTTATGAGGAACAATCAGCTTCCAGAGAAATTGAGAACCCCAACCTGGTGAAGTACAGGATTTTTTAGGAATCAGATATAACTGGATTATTTGAGTTCTTCTAAGTAAACCAGAGAGCTGTATATCTATTTATAAGCACAAAATAAAGTCCAATTACACCTGTTAAGAAATTGTTATTGTAATCATACTCTTGTGTTTTCAGCTGTGAAGGACAATGTGCATCAAAACAAGACCCCAGTGAATCACACCCTTTCAGAGAGGATGAATGAACAAGCAAATCTCAGCATCAACGCAGCCCGGTCATCAAAGATCCTCTATGTCATCACAACCAGCCCAAGCCATCCAACTAGCTCCATGCCTGGTAATGATACAAGAAAATCTGGAAATGAAGAAAACATTTTGCCAAAGTAAAATCTGGAGTCACTATTTCCTTTGCTGCCTCCTCCATGTTAGCAGATCCACTGTGCATCTTACTAACAGATGAATTTCCATTCCATTAATTAGCACTAACTGGGATTCTCTCATTACATTTCAAAACACTTCTCAGCCTAAGTCAGAAATAGTGTGAAGATGGTGAGTTCTTGAGAATGAAAGCACATCAAAATAACATGAGTCAGAGCAGCCTCCTTACTGAAATCAGCTTTAGTGGCCACTGCATGCCACAGAAGGGCACAAGCTGCTGAAGAAAGAAGAATCTTTTGTAGTTTAGAATAGCTTGAATGCTGTTTGCATCTGTTACCCCAATTAACAAAAGCCTCATCAATAGTACAGAGAGGACTAGACAAGTTAATGGGTGTAGGAGAGGGGTCACTGAGAACTGTCATGTGTTTAGAACTCACCTTCAGGACATCATTGAATTCAGGAAATTGAAGTTGTAATAATTGAAGGCAGGAAATGCACTCTAGGTGAATATCACTATTATTCTCTCCTGTAGTTAATCCACCCTGGGCATATGCTTTTATCTGTCACTGAAGCTGGGCCTCAGTTCCACTGTGGAAGTTCCCACAGTGTTGAAGCTGCATCCCAAACCTGAAACATGAGCTGCAGACGCCCAAACCAGCCAAGGTGCAGAAGGTGCCTAGGAATAGTCTGGGACTAGGCCCAGCCTAATGCCTGACTTACCACAGTTAACCTAAGCTGCCCAGTGTTAAACTACCCCAGGAACTCCAATAGAAACTGCACCCTTGGATTCTATGCAGTTCCAAAAATACTGTTCAAATCATCATGTACAGGCAATGCTTTGAGGAAGGGGCAGTGGGTAGAAGAGAACATCTGCTTCCTTTCCTAGATAATTTTACTAGGATATGCTTTGAATTTTGCCAGCTTTCAATTTTACTGGGAGGAGTTCTGCAAGGGAAAAAATCGGTTCTGACTGGAAGTTTTACGGTTTGTGCCAGTCTGCAGAAAATACTCGTAGATTTAAGGCATTGTCAAATTACAGATTTGAACAAAGCATCACAAGGCTGTTTGCTCCTTTATTGCAACATTCTTACTGTAAAAACTGTAAGTAAATGAATATACTGAGAGCTTCCCCTCTTCTTTTTTGTAGAATGGACAATATACAGTCTAACAGCACTGCTCATCCTAAGTGTTACAGCCATAATAGCAAAGATACTTCTGCACATTACCATGAGGTGAGTGTGGAGCAAAACCAACCACAGAGAACCAAGATCTCAGCTGTGACCCAAGCCTGGGGCTCCTCTCTCTGCCTTCTGATTGTCAGATTGGCCATATTCCAAACCAAGTTAGTTATTACACTCATACCAAGTAAATTTTGTGTCCTCCAGATGGACACTCACTGAATGAAATGATGGGTGAGTTATCAATAAATCAAAATGTTGAATATTGTATTTACATAGTACAAACATGCTTAAATTAATTTGTATTAATAGCAACTATAATAACAACTACAGTCTTAATGTCACTGCTGTCATTAGGGTGGCAAAAGGATACTTTTCATTTGGTGAAGATAACCAAGAAACACTCCAAACCCTACATTTTGCACAGCAGGGGAAGTGTCACAGACGTAGTAGAAGCTGTGAGCACTCCCAGTGTAGGAGTACTGCAGACTTATTTACAACCATAGCTCCCCAAGCACAGTAACACAGGAGTGAATTTACTCTTGTTTCCTAGGTCCCACCAGATTCCAGCTGCAGCTGAAACAGAAGATTGCAGTGATGTCACTACTGCTGGTGAGATCTGGAGTATATTTTACCAACCATCCACATCAATATCCATCTTTAAGAAAAAGCTTCGAAATCAACAAGACGATTGCAACCCACTGGTGGGAAACTGAAGTGTCTTTTACTTTGCAAGAATTGATCTTGTTAAAATCCAGGTGACTTGAGATTAATCTTCCTTTTTTTTCCTCCCAATCTCATACCTGTTTTCCAAAAAGTCCATTCCCAAAGGCTTTTGAGTGACTTTGCCTATCTGCTGTTCTCAGTGACAACAGAGTTCATTGCAGCAATAATTTTGAAATACCGGTGCTTCTCAAGTCTGTAGTGCTGTTAATTACTGCCTTTAAACCATTGCACTTAAAATAGATGTAAAAACTTGTAAAATTCAAAATGTCCTGTACCCCTATCAAAGGTAACTGAAGGGGTATCTACAGGTTGAGGATTTCTTGTGTCCCACTTGCCTTTACCACTGTGTTGTATCAGGCTACTTTAGTCCTTTTATTCTCAAGGCTGAAGAGAGAGGTGGGTACTGATAACCTGTTCAGCTACCACAGCAAGCAGAGCTGATTTAGTTTGATGTAAACACATCTAACTGTGTTTACATACTACTATACAGTAGAATGGGAATCAAAGACTGGAAAAATTATCAGCCTGGTTGCTCAGTGCTGTGCTCTTTTTGCATTTTGTTTGTGTCTACAAGCAGAGATGCAAACATGAAAAATCAAATTCAGGATGACTCTAAAACAAGATTCAGCTACAAATACACGTTTTGATTGACTAGTGCTCACCAGGTCAAGGCCTGCACGAGCATTGAAGCCTTTTAAATGCTCTCTCTGACCCATCATTCACTGATGTTTATGATAATTTTGTTCATATTCACAGTGATCCTTTAAAAACTATTGTACTCCAGCCTGACAGCCAGCATTCATCCTGGGTATAAGCTTAGGGCTTCTTAAAGGATTGTCCAAAGATACTGTAATCCACTGAATTTTTATCAGTGAGGCTAACAAATTTTTTCTCTGAACTCACATGTGTTAATCTCAGCAGCCCAAACTATTTACGAAGTTGTAGGCTGCTATCACCAACTCACCTGGACCAGACTGTGCAGCTGAACATGCAAGAAACAGCTGCCTTGACATTTACCTGTGAGGAGAAATGTCTCTTTGCCTGCAGCACTAAAACTGAACTGAATTTTAAGGTAATTGCCTTAATTGTCAAAGAACTAAAACATCAGTGGGGTTCTGATCTGTGAATTTTTTTCTCTTTGATTGCAACAGAGAGCATTAACTATTTCTTCTCTTTGGTAGACTGACTGTCCATCCAAAATACTCAGATTTCTTATCCCACCACCACAAGTGGGAAACAAGTGATTCCAAGGGATCAGCAGTGAGTCTTTCAGCCTCAGCAAGTTCAGACCAGCAAGATATTTAGGGAAAACCGTCAATGCAAATGTCAAATTGTCTGGCAAAGTTTACAGTGGGCAGCTCCTTAAACTCAGTTAGAGGAGGTTCACTGAGAACCATTAAACTACAGTAATTCTGGTTAAGTTTGAGCATATGCCAATGGTCTGCACATGCCAGATGTGCAGTCAGAGGACATCTAATAAGTGCATCTGCAAAAGGAAATTGAGAAAAGTCAGAAAATTGTCACTAACTTTAAATTCATTATAGTATCTGCCCTTATATTTTTTAACATATAACTCCCTCCTTTTTGTGAGAACTAAAAATTTCATTGAAAAAACAGGGCACCAAAGAATTAAGCAGTGAAATATTGTGCCTTACCACTGGAGATCTGGTCTCTTACCTGAACTGAATTCAGTTCAGCTTGATTTATGTACCACAGACGAGTGTTAGAGACAGCTGAACAATATCACAATGCATGCTTAAAAGAAACCAGACTTTACTAAGCCAGCAATTATGGAATTGTTTATATAAAAAATGGAATAGCATGGGAACATCTAGTACTTTCTTGCGTGAGCTGCTGGAAAGAATACAGGAAAATATAATTACAGTAATAGCTGAAATGAAGACAGGACAAGTTGTAAAAAATATGCTAGTTCTCTCTCATGTGTCATCATGTTGGACCAAAAAACATTGTCTGTTTCAGGCCCAACGAAAGTTCTGAAATTGCATTTTTTAAAAGTAAGGTTTTGCATCATGCTGTGTGGAGAAAGAGTTCACCTCAGAGATTCAGAGCAAAACAAAGTAGATTGGTTCCCAAGCATCCTTAATTAGGTGCTCTAATAGGAAAGCAGGCAGAGAGAATCACAGTGCGGTGCAGGGTCCTCGGGAGCTGTTACAAGCACATAGTGCTTATCACAAAGTGATGAAACTTTGAATGCCTTATCAAATACAAGTTAAACATTTTGTCAGAGACATTCATAAAGCACTTACCTAATGAGGATAAACTGGAGAAACATCAGGAACACCCAGTGACTGAGTTACACCTACTGCAGAAAGAAAAAACTCAGAATTTTATACTTCTCTTCCTTAGTGAAGAATTTAATTTCACTATAATATTAGAGAAAATTTCATAACAAACAGCAACAAAGACTGATGCTACTAATGCAAAAATCTAGAGGATTCAAGAAGAGAGATTTTTGCATTGCTTTCTTAGCTCCTCAAATATTTTTTTAAATAAAATTGTCTTTCATGGGACTTTCATGGGGAACATTAATCAAATTTATGTACAAAAGTCCCATAAAACCAGCACTTACAGCAGATTAACTGGTCATGGCAACAACAAACATGACTATATTAGACAGTGCATGGGTAATACACTGATAAAAGCATAGAAGAAATTATATTCCTCCCCCCCAAATCTTTCAGATTGGCTGATTATAGATACTTCTAATGCTAGCAAACAGAGCAATGGATGGAAATTCATGGACAGGGTCCCTTAAACAGCACTTATTACTTTACAGGGCTGAGACCATGATGAGCAGGTAGATCTCCAGTGTGATTTTTTCAAAATGTGGTAGGGTCACTCACACTTGTAGGTCTGACACTTCAGGTGTGGTGATTTATGGCCAAGATATGTGGTATCCATTAACATAGCATGTTTTGATCTTTGCTGTAAGGGTTTGGGGGAGAAAGAAGCAGAAAGTGTGACCATGCACAACTGTTGTAATCCCAAAAGGAAATGCTCCTACTACACAGCCAGCTGAGAGCTGGCAGCTGGAGAGCAGGGACACCTCAGGATGTTGGTGTTTACACCATTTTCTTTGACAAATTGAAAGTAACTGCAGAAGGATTTGTTTGGAATTGTATCTGAACGGCCTTCTGAGCTCCTGCCTAGCAGTTCCCTCAAGAGGCTGGACAGGCTGCAAATGTGACAGTAGCTACAGTGTCAAAAGCAACTGTTATGACAACCAAATCATCATGAGGAGCTGCCTCCTCACATGGATTTCAGCTCCTGCTCTGGCCCCCTACTCACTCTTGTGTTGGTGTGACCAGCTGTGTCGTGGTGCAATAAACTGATCGGGTCAAAAATTGCCATGGCTTTTTCTTCCCTGAGTTACTTTTTACAGAGCTGAGCTCTCTGGCCTTGTTCCTGGGGTGGTTGCACAGGGAGATGAGCTAAGAGCTCCCTGAATCCACAGCTAAGCAGACAATAAGCCATAGGACAAGGACAGATGTCTGCCCCAGGAGCTGGGGCAGTGAGCACTTCTGGAACTGCCACAGAGCGATCCGTGAGCCTGCTGCCTTCACACAGCAGCCAGTTCCAGCAGCCTACTCTGTGTGTGGAGCTCAGCTGGAAAGGGGCCAGCTGGACAAGTGCCTTCCCTCGTTCAAAATCTGCATTTAAAACTAGTTTAGTTTGTTGACTACATGATTTTATATGTATTTTTATCTTAATATTGTTATGTTGTGGGAAAATAGAGACGTTGTTATGTAAAAATGTGTGATGTGTTATCATAGTAATATATATATTTGTATATGTATAGGAAATGCTTATTTAATACAGCATATTATGCTTGTATCTTGCTAACATTTTATAGGAAGAAAAGATGTTAGTTTACACTCTGGGAAAAATAAATTTTCTATACACTGTAACCATAGGGAAAAAAAAAAATCAAAGATACTTCTTTGGTATATATGATAGAAAGACATTGAGAATAGGGGAACTCAGCCTCAGTTTTGTGACAGAATAGATGCTGATAAAACAGCAGCTGTAAGAAATACTTTACTCCTTTGAATCTCATTTCTAGCCTGTAATTGTATTAGGCTGTTCATCAGATTCTGCAAATTCATGTGCATTTCTTTGGATGACTTTTACCATCAAACATGTAATCTGCTTTTTCAATCAAGCATTATCTTCTTTTAGGACTTGTTTGTGCCAAATTCTTTACAGCCAGGACAATGCTGAGGAAGTTTATCACATTGCTCACACAAACAGTCTAGTGGAATTGCAGAATTAAAGTCTGTGTATTCTAACCCCCCCAGCAACAGCATAAATAGGAAGTATTTATGGATAGTCCTAGAAACTGCACTGAATCTGCAGCCTGGATGACTACAGGCCAAACCCATCAGCAGACACATGGCTGCCACTGAATGAGCATAAGTAGCTATTCCACTTTCATCTTCTGTTTAATAAGCCTTCTCAGGCAATGGGAAGGAATAGATTTTTCTAGCACACCACTTTGCCTAAAGGAAGGGTGAACTACAAAAACAACTCCTGACAAAAACTTGTCCAACTAGTTCTTACTGCCTTGCAGCAGTGTTTCACAATCTTCCAATGAAATACAGTTCACTGATAGTTTCACCTGAATATTGTTCTGGACATTTATGAACAATTCTGCTACCTTGAGAGTAAAAAATACAATTGTTTTCAGACCATGCCATTTTTTTTGTAACAAAAAATCCCCATTACACACACTTTTCACGCCACTCAAATTTGCTGAGCACCTGTGCTTTGGGATGAAATCTGGCATTGTGAACTTCAATCTGAAGACATTTTGCTACAAGTCCAAAAGCTATCACATGAACCACACATAAAGCTGTCAAGAAACCAGAATAAATCAAATTTGAGATGACTCGCTGCTGAAATACGTGCTGTGTTTATAACTGTTCACCCTGCATTCAGCAGATGTTGTAAATAATAATTATGAAAAAACAAATAAAGTGTATTTGTGCAGGAGGAGTTGCTGGGATGACAAAAATGTGTACAAACATGAAATAAAGGAGGCAGAAACTGCTGCAGTTCACTAGCAGATTACAAGAGCACTGCCTGTTATACATGTTACTACAGACTATTAGAGCTGAGAATGATTACTTTATATATAAAGTATGACATTGCTCTGAGACACAATTTTTGAGGTAACAGCAAATTGAAAGTTTTCACTTTGTGTTTTCAAACTTTTAGAAAGAACTGTAACAATTCTTTCAGTGTTTGCTTTGCACATTTCAGCAATGTGTAATGCTGTTTCCACTTGCTTGCAAGATTCATCTTTTCTCTAATTAATTCCTCCTGGCCAAAATAATGCTACAGTTTAAGAAACCTTCAGCAACGTTTTATGTAAACGCCAGAAAACCAGTGACAAATACCAAAAGTGTCTCCAGCTTTTCATGCGAAGACTCATTTTTCTTTTAGAAACACAGTTGTCACAGGGGACTGGACTCTCCTCTCCTTTCTTGCCATTCCAGTTTATGAGACTCTGGCACTTTTGGTTTTTTCTGGGAACTGTTCCCTTCTTTTTTCTTGGTTGTTTCCTAAGCAGCAGTTTCATTCCCCATGAGGGAAACGTGTTTTTTATTCTGAAAGAGACGCTTTTCTGTGAAGCATTTAAGTCACAGGAGCACAGTGCTTTCACTGCAAGATAAAATATCTGGTTTCAGGTATGTTATTGTCTCCTTGGCCAGAGAATTAGGCCAGGCTGGCTCCACAGGGTATGAACATGGCTGTCCTATTAAGGGCAGTTTTCTCTTCACACTACCCAAGTAACAAACGTTACCTAACAGCTGTCATAGGATTTGGCAGATGCACAGGGTGTTGCAGATAGTGTTACAGGAACACCAAGTGTCACCATAATGTACAATCCCTTAAGAATAATCTGCTCCTGCTTGGCTTTTTCTACTTTATCGAGGTTCTGTGGAGGTTTGTGGTGCCCCACAGGACTCTCATTTTGTCACAACTTGTTCCTTAAACATCAAACCTGAAAAGGAACCTTCCCCACTTGCCAAGTATCAAAATGTTCATTTTGGACAGGAAATATTTACACTTAGTCATTTTTAAAAAGCCACAACAAAGACTAGACAGAATACCCCACAGAGCTTGGCACCACACAAAAGTTCAGCCAGCAGCCCACCACTGTCTTTCATGGAGACAGAACCTGGGCTCACTGATTATTCTGTGGGACACTGAGGCTGGTGGTCTGTCCTGTTCAGAAAAGCACAATCACCTGACAGTTTTATTCAGAACAGGAAATGAGAAAACAGAACACCAGCAGCAACAGCAGACAGGGGGGTGAAAGGAGGGAAGAGAAGGGAGGTTCAGATGTGACCCCTCAAAATACACATTACCAGCCACCCTCATAATGCTATTTGTAAAAACAAGTGTTTCATGAACTAATTTGCAGATAAAAAGCATATCTGTAATCACTGGCAACTGCAAAGTTTCTGTTCACTTCATGAAAAAAGGGGCACATACTTAATTGGGAAGCACTTGCTCCTATTGCTTCTCCACTATTGTGCCTGTCTTCCCCCACAGACCAGGATTTTCCACCTGAGACAGGATGGGAACTCAGGCTGTGAAGGGTCCCCTACTAATTAATTCTCTTGAATGGTCATCCCAAATGGAGTTACCACATATGAAACAAGGAGCATTGGAGAGAAGTAAGGCTCATTTCTTGGCTGAGTCCTGAGGTGATTAATTACAGTGCATTTGAACATGGATGAGAGACAGGGAAAATCCAGGGGATTACCAGGTAAAAATCTTTGGGAGAAGGAAGAAGCTGGAGAATCCTGAAAAAGGCTCTGTGACTGTATCGCTGGATGGGAAATGAATAATACATGAAGGTGAAGAGCTTACACAATAACATACAGAAATACACATGTACATACACACACAGAGCCACACCCCCCCAGGCTCCCCTCCTCTGCTCTCTGCATAAACATCTCTGATGAAATTGTGCTCTCTGCTGACAAAACGAGTACCACAGTATTGATTTTCACTTCAGCAGGGCCAGTGATTCCATCTAGCTTGATTCAAGCTATTGAATATTCAAGCTATGACTTACCCAGTTGTGTCCACCTGTATCATGCTCTCTCAATTTTATTTCAGGACAATAAATTACTTTTACCTGAAATTACAACACTTAAGTTCCCCTGCCACAAGGAACAGGCACGTTCCACCCATAAATGAGGTTTTCTTTTAGCAGATGTGGT